TGGAGAGCAGTGCTTATTTTATATACCCCGCCCCCTGCCAAAGAGTATTTCAATTTATATTTTAACAACGAAATGTTATTTTCTTAACAATTCATATTTTGTTTTTACTTTATGGATTAAGAAAATAGAGCCTGATGAACTAAATGATGCAAGAAAGAAACTGATCCTGAGAATGAAAAGCTTCAGAAAGTAGAATTCCAAGATCAACAGCCTTAGAAGGGACCAGGAGAAGCAACTTTAAAAATAGGATTTCTAAGAGATGCCTACAAAACACAGAAGGTGACTGTGGCAGAGACCAACACTTAGATGTAGAAGTGCTGCCCCCTAGGGTCATCCTCTGCATAATTTCTAGGAAAGCATTGCCATCCTTGCGGAGGGAAGCCCTGGACCACAGAAGCACAGGAAGGGTGAGTGTGGGGTCCTAGACCCGAGCTCTTCAACTCTAAAACCAATCACACACAAGATCCTGTTTTCATCTCAGGGAGAGAATTCTAAGTCATCTGGGGCTTGTGGGCTTATTTAAGGATGGTCAATGGACATATTCGTGGACCCACACACAAGTAGAGCAGCTGCTGATACCCTATAATGTTGGACAGCCCCAAATACAGAACAGAATGAGTCACTTGTGATTTGACCTCCCCTATTTTGTCCCGAGATAGTAGAACCATGTCCATGTTTAGAATACAACAACTGTGGAATAATTGGGGTTCTTAGGGAGAGATTTGTATAATTTTAAAGAAAGACATCCTTTCATCTAGACCAGAGGTCAACAAATTTCTGTAAAGTGCTACACAGTAAATATTCTGGTTTTGCACACTATACTGTCACAACTACTCACCTCTGCCACCATAGCACAAAAACAGCCATAGATAATATATAAATGAAGGAACATGGCTGTGTTCCAATAAAACTGTATGAACACAGTCAGCTGAATTTGGCCTAAAGGCCGTAATATGCCAGTCCTGATCTAGACAATGAAACTGATCCTTACTAGTATGTTAGCAGAAGAGGGTCAGACATGTCAGTCAGCTCTGTTTCCATGACTGACATGTGTCAAACATCTGGGAATACTTCCCAGTGGAGGCACCAGGTTGCTTGTTTAAAGGGTGCTCGACCAACCAACCAGCAAAGAGGTGTCCGATGCCAAATAGGCAAGATCAAATACTGGAATGCTAAAACATGGGTGGAATCTAAGAAAAAAAGAGGGCCTCTCTGACCATTTCCATACCAGCAACAATTTGGGCAGAATTATAAGTATCTATTTATCGCATGACAATACAAACCGAAGGAAATCCTAGTAAAGATTAGGGGTCAGTTAAACCCAACTAGCCACTGCTACTTGTCATCTACATAGCAAAGGCTTTATTTAGCACAGGACTAATGTGAGAAGTAGACCCAGAGATGAAAAGGCTGTCAGGAGACAGGAGTCTGGTGTTAATCTGGATATCTACTGTCTTATGCAACATAGCAGATGACCTTTTAGTGTAGTGCTCCTACCTCAGTTTGTAGAATCTGGTGTTTCTATGCAGTGAGTGATAGCCTCAACTCTGACCTTTCATATTCACATTAGAGATAGATGCAGTATTCCATATCCTAATATGTTCCTTGTGTCTAGCATTCTAACAGTAGTCTATGCCATTTCTAACAGCTAAATTTTGCTCTCTAAACAGGAACCTTTAGGGTTTTTTTTCCCCCCCCAGGGCTCATCCCAGAAAATATGGATAGAAAAGTTTCCTTCAGTTTGCTTTTCAAACAGTGCTTGAATAATAAACCTCCTTTGTTGATGACTAGTCTTTTTTTGGTAATATCTACACCATTAAAAACTGTTCGAGTTTTTAACCTGTTTATACTGTGTTCTAACATGTCTCTCATTTTTTCTCAAAATTATTTTACCTCATTTTAGAAAAATCAATGGTTTCCATAGCTTCATCTATCAGAGGAAATAAAACTCTTACTAAAGAGTAGTGTACTGCATCTTTAAGCAGTAGAGGGTAAACTACCTGCAAATGTGAATTTCTTAGTTTCATTTAAAAATATAGTTGTTAACCTTCTGTGTGCCAAAAACTCTTAAGTTACATTTTCCTTCAAAGCAATGTACCTTTTTCTATATATGCAGTATGTAGTTAGCATAAAATCATTGGTGCCATGAAGATTATTTTTAAACTTAAATAAATATTTAAATATCATCGAAGAGTGGGCTCTTTCTTTAACTCACAGCCTGTCTTACTTTCCCCCCTTAGAGTTACCAACACAGATAAAAGGCTACCAGTGGGCTTTACACAGCTAACTGCTATTCACTTGGACCATATAAAATAATCATTTTCCCGGCCGGGCGCGGTGGCTCAAGCCTGTAATCCCAGCACTTTGGGAGGCCGAGGCGGGTGGATCACGAGGTCGAGAGATCGAGACCATCCTGGTCAACATGGTGAAACCCCATCTCTACTAAAAATACAAAAAAAAAAAAAAAAAAAAAAATAGCTGGGCATGGTGGCGCGTGCCTGTAATCCCAGCTACTCAGGAGGCTGAGGCAGGAGAATTGGCTGAACCCAGGAGGTGGAGGTTGCGGTGAGCCGAGATCGCGCCATTGCACTCCAGCCTGGATAACAAGGCTAAACTCTATCTCAAAAAAAAAAAATCATTTTGCTTGTATCCACCTATTATTCTTGTCCCTACCCTCAAATAAATACAGTAAGAAACTGAGAAGCTATAAATGTAATAATTTTAAAGTGAATTGGACACCATTTTTCTGATGAGGAAAACCAAGAAGGCTAGTGATTTTCCCAAGATTAAATAGTGGTAAAGCCAATTAGAACCCAGACGGTCCAGCTTCTGGTCCAGTGTTCTTACTCAAGCCTGGAGTAAGTCGAGCACAGAAAATACTAAGAAGGAACTAGAATGGTAACACTACAGTAACAAGCCACATATTTACAAAATCTATCCCAATAGCATTAACTCATCTGATTATGTAACCATGATTCTGTGGCTACAGAATTGGAAATGGTCTTCTAAATTCCATGAGGTTAAGTAAGAGGTGACACTGGGGGCTTCATCCATTGTGCTAGCTTTTTACATACCTTTGTCTTCTCAATTCTGCTTGCCCTCCACTCTCCCATTTCTGTTGCCAGATCATCTTCCTAAACACCAATCAATCAGGTTATGTTACTCAACTCCAAGTTTCAGAGGTACCCACTACCTATAAAATGCTATCCAGCACACTATCCCCAGTGGAATTTTTATATGTTTTTATGACATAAGTTTTTGCTTGAAGTGATCCAAAGAGTAAAAAGCACAAGGAACACCGGACTTGGGTGGCTTCCCATGGCCCTGCCAATTCACAGAAGCCCCTCTTCTGCTGAGAGCTTATCAAGGACTGTCTGCACACATTCTGGTAGGACTCTAGTCCCTACTTCCCTCTGCTTTGGATTCCTCCAGCACGATCTAGCTCCTCTGCACCTGAACACACTTTTGGTTTTAGCTTGTGAACAGGCTTCCTCTTCAGACCCCTAGAACCTGCTGATGGAGTGGAGTAAAACCAGCTAAACACACTTTTAATCAATTCTCTCTTGCCCAGCTTCCATTATGGGGAAAATGTATCATAAAATGTGTTGTTCTTAAGCTCTGTAAAATTATACTTAATGTTATCTTCCTCATAAATTCCACCTTTTCATTTGAAAATCCAAATATTTATAGCCAAATGAGTCGAAATAGAATCTATGCTGTCTTGGTATTTCTAGCTATCAACACCCTACTAAAAAGCAGGGGGAAATGTACTAAGTCAGAAAGGACAACCCAACAGGACATCAAAGTTTTTGGAATCTCAAGTTAGGGGGGCATTTATTTCCTCTTCTCAGTACAATACAGAAGGCATGTATGTCTTCTCCCTTACTCTACCCCATGTACTGTACATTGGCTGAAAGGATTTAAATCCTTGTATCCACAGCCCTAATGCTCCCTGCTTTCCTGGAGAACTCCCTTTGCAAAATCTTCTTGGTGAAAAGGAAAACTCAAAGACCAGAATACTAAAAATAGGACTTAAGCAACTCAAATTCTATTAATTCCTAATCATTTGTGGTCTCTCCTAGTCTGACCAAGTCTCTGACCACCCAAACAACAATTGTCTGCTTCTTCCTTAAAAGTTACATAAGGAGGCCGAGGCTGGTGGATCACGAGGTCAAGAGATCGAAAAAAAAAAAAAAAAAAAAAGTTACATAAGGAATGGGGGAAGAAGAGAAAAAAAGTCACATAACGAACGGCTGAATATCTCTTTTTTTTTTTTTTTTTTTTTTTTTTTTGAGACGGAGTTTTGCTCTTGTTACCCAGGCTGGAGTGCAATGGCGCGATCTCGGCTCACCGCAACCTCCGCCTCCTGGGTTCGGGCAATTCTCCTGCCTCAGCCTCCTGAGTAGCTGGGACTACAGGCGTGCGCCACCATGCCCAGCTAATTTTTGTATTTTTAGTAGAGACGGGGTTTCACCATGTTGACCAGGATGGTCTCGATCTCTTGACCTCGTGATCCACCCGCCTCGGCCTCCCAAAGTGCTGGGATTACAGGCGTGAGCCACCGCGCCCGGCCTGGCTGAATATCTTAAAAAATAATAATAATAAATAACTCAAGTGAAATTCAGAGCTTACATTCCATCAAGTGGAATTCAGAGCTTAAGAGATAACATATAGGCCAAACTAACAGAAAAGGTTTATCCTGAAGGGAGCAATCATAATACACACACAATTACAGAAGCTACAGCTGTAAGCAAGTCTCTGGGAAAAGTGCCTTGCACTACAGATTACAGTGTAAGGATGTCCCAAGGGAGACAATTTTATGTGCTGTCTAGATTTAAACAATTACTCCATTAAAAGCTGATCACCAAAAAAAAAGAAACAAGTCCCTACTCATTCTCCTTCCTTCCTGCATTGCCTCAAGATAACTCTATTAAGTGAAACTGAATGTAAATAGCACTGTTTATGAAACTACAATCTCAAAAGAAACCACAAAAGTGAGAAACATCAAGAATTTGCTAATGTTTATTGAAGAGTCCAGGCAATTACTGCCAGGTATTCAAAGCTTAAATGATTGAGAGTAGTTTTCATCATTAAAAAAAAAAAAAATTAAAAAACACAATTCCCATAGAACTAACCACTCTAGAACCCAGGAAATTAACTGGCACAGAAATGAGAAAGGTAGCCTAAAGCCTTTATAGTGTTTCCTGCACAGTCTAATTATAATTCAACCTCACCTAGCTTTACTTTCCCTTTATAAATTAACATTTCCATCTCACTTGTCAATTCCACTACTTACACCAACTAGAAAATCGAGAAATATTACTTATAAACACCTAAACCTATTAAGAAACTAAACCTTTTTACACTTAGATTTTAACTACAGAGAAGAAAATTATTTAGAAATTGTTTTTCAAAGAGATTATATATCACTATTTCTCTGATATACAACTATGAGAAAATATTTCCTCTTAGAAGCCAAACATATTGCCAAAGCCATTTACAGTCTTTCAGTAGTATCTGGAAATTAAAAAGTACGAAGAAAGTTGGATAGATGTCACACAGTAATATAAGTAACTGATCTGGCTGCTCCCCTCCCAACAACACATTGAAATTACCATCACTTCTGAAAATAAAATATTTTGATGAAAGAAATACCAAAAGTGATATTTCATAACATTTCCCCCAAATATGAATAAGAATGAAGGTATTCACTTAACACTACTGAATATCCTTTGGAGAGTTTAAAGATGGGGACAAAGACTGGGACATTCTAAGCAGTAGCTTTCACTTCTTTAACCATTACCCATGGTACTACAGTAATTAAAAATATATATTTTTTACATCAGAATATACATAAACATATATACCTACAAATATATATGCATATATGTTTTACAAAACAATACTTACTCAAATATGTTTTCTGTTCTTTACAAAATTATTTCCTTTTCATTTTTTTCAACACCAGTCATTGTCATTTAACTGATTTCATATGAAGAGCAAAAACCCAGTCTGAAAAACACAGGTCTGAGGCAATCCTACACTGGAATGCAGGGACCAGGGCAGATCCACATTCTGTGCCTGGGAGTCCTGGCTGTGTCTCAGGAGCCATCTAGAGGAAGGGGAAAGGAAAGCACAGAGAGACCCAGACCCCGCCCTGAGTAAACCAAAGCTGCTTAGCAGTTATCTTGGCGTTTCACGTAAGATTTAACCTATAGGGAGGGTGGCAAAAAAAAAAGTTCTCAACAAAAAAAAAATCAAGTTTCAAAATCACTGAGTTAGATTACCTTTCCAGGCCCCCTTCCAGTGTGAGTCTAGAAATAAGTATTCATTCCAAACTATAAAAAAAGATCACAAATCCATGTATCACTACAGAATCAAAACCATATCATTAACTCATAAAAACTTTTAATAATAGTCAAAGCTTTATAATTTATAATGTTAGAATTTCTCTACATACTGTCTTGATTAAAAGTGCTGATGGCCCTGGGTATGTAATCCCAGTACTTTGGGAGGCTGAGATGGGTGTCTCACCTGAGGTCAGGAGTTCTAGATCAGCCTGGCCAACATGGTGAAACCCTGTCTCCACTAAAAATACAAAAATTAGCCAGGTATGGTGGCGAGTGCCTATAATCCCAGCTACTCAGGAGGCTGAGGCAAGAGAATCACTTGAACCCAGGAGACAAAGGTTGCAGTGAGCCAAGATCGTGCCATTGCACTCCAGACTGGGCAAGAAGAGCGAAACGCCATCTCAAAAAAAAAAAAAAAAAGTGCTGAAGGCACCTCAGCCTCCCCTCACATTCCCTCCCCATCCTACAGAAGTAACCTCCAAGACTTCTCCCTTACTAAAAGTAAACACTTCTTATAGTTTTATTAATAAAACAATTTTATATTTCCTAAAAGTAACACATTACCAAGTAAACACACTAAGCTATGCCAATTACTAGGTTCCTTAGACAGTGGTCAATTTGAACAAACTGATGTTCTTAAACCAAAAACTCGGCAGCTTTTTTAATTCATAAAAACATGTATCTTCCCGCTGGAATTACCTCCAGCCAAAATATACTGAGTTGGGTGCATGGCATTGATGGAACACACAGAGACAAGGCATTCTCCACCAAAAGAATGCACCCTCCTTCCTGTCTCATGGAAGATTTCTATCCGTCGTGGACGGGCCATGCTGCCAACTATGACACAGTCTTCTTGTTTAGGATCCCACATGGCTTGGAATCTGGTCAGCCATCGCCCAGTGAAAGTGTTGTGCCTAGTGAGGAAAACAAAGTATTTTTTAAATGAAGGTTAAATAAGGTAGCACTGGGGACAGGGTAAAGACGGCATTACTCCTAAATGCTACTTTTCTCTGCCAAGTCTCTTCTCATTAAGTTACTGAATTACTACCAACCTTATCTTACCCTCTCTACAGGCTGAAACTCTGGAAAGAGATTATATCCTCCTCATCCAAAAATCTCCCAAAATAAAACATATGGAGCCCGTTATAGCTCTTAAAAGCATAAATAAAAGTATTGCCCTTTTAGTCTGTATATCTTAATATCACTAACAATCCTTTTTCATTAATGTACAGACAATAGAGAAAAACATTTCCCACTGCTACTTAAATGACCGTATCTGTATCTTTAAGGAAAATCCTTAGCCCCTAGAATAATCACCCTAATTTTTTTTTACATACACACACACAGCAATAAATTGTTTTTTAATGTGCATAACATGGTCAGGCACAGTGACCCACACCTGTAACCCCAGCACTTTGGAGGCGAAGACTGGTGGATCACTTGAGGTCAGGAGTTCGAGACCAGCCTGGCCAACATGGCAAAATACAGTCTACTAAAAATACAAAAATTGGCTGGGCGTAGTGGCTTATGCCTGTAATCCCAGCACTTTGGAAGGCCAAGGCAAGCGAATCATCTGAGGTCAAGAGTTCAAGACCAGCCTGCCAAAATGGTGAAACTCCATCTCTACTAAAAATGCAAACATTGGCCGGGCATAGTGGCACTTGCCTGTAATCCTAGCTACTCAGGATGCTGAGGCAAGAGAATCACTTGAACCCAGGAGGCAGAGGTTACAGTGAGCTGAGATTGTACCACTGCACTCCAGCCTGGGTGACAGAGTGAGACTCCATCTCAAAAAAATAAAATAAAATAAAATAAAGACACATAATACTGGCCGAGCACAGCGGCTCACACTATAATCCCAACACTTTGGGAGGCTGAGGCAGGTGGATCACCTGGTTAGGAGTTTGAGACTAGCCTGTCCAACATGGTGAAACCCTGTCTCTACTAAAAATACATGTGGCACACGTCTGTAATCCCAGCTACTCGGGAGGCTGAGGCAAGAGAATCACTTGAACCCGGAAGGTGGAGGTTGCAGTGAGCCGAGATCACATCATTGCACTCCATAATGGGTGACAAGAGCAAAACTCTGTCTCAAAAAAAAAAACAAAAACATAATACTACATAGCAACCAACAAGCTAGGTAAAAACCCTAAAGACTCCATCAAAAATCTGTTGGAACTAAAAATTTCAGTAAACATGCAGTATAAAAAAATCAACATACAGAAATCAATAGCTTTTTGTTTTTGAGATGGGGTCTCATTCTGTCACCCAGTCTGGACAACCTCCACCTCCCAGGTTCAAGAGATTCTGTGCTTCAGCTCCCAAGTAGCTGGGATTACAGGTGTGCACCACAATGCCTGGCTAATTTTCTTATTTTTAGTGGAGATAGGGTTTCACCATGTTGGCCAGACTGGTCACAAACTCCTAACTTCAAGTGATCTGCCCACTTTGGCCTCCCAAATTGCTGGGATTACAGGCATAATCCACCATGCCTGGCCTAGAAAACAGTAGCATTTCTATATACTAATAATGAACAAACTGAAAAGCTGAAGAAAACAACCTCATTTACAATAGCTACAAAAAATTTAAATATTTAGGAAATAAATTTAACAAAGGACATGAAAGATCTATACACTGAAAACTATAAAACACTGGTGAAAGTAACTGAAAAAGACACAAACAGATACAAAGATACACAATGTTCATAAACAGGCATAATATTGTTTAAAATGTCCATATTACCTAAAGTGATTTACAGACTCTATGCAATCTCTATCAAAATTCCAAGGGCATTTTTCAGAAATAGAAAAAACAATACTAACATTTGTATATAACCACAAACAACCCCCAATAAACCAAAGCAATTTTGAGCAAAAAGAACAAAGCTAGAGGCATCACACTACCTGACTACAAAGCTATACTAACCAAAACCATATTGTGCTGGCATACAGAGACACAGAAAAATAGAACAGAGAGTTGAGAGATAAATCCAAACATTTAGGGTCAATTGACTTTCAATAAAGGTGCCAAGAACACAAAATGGGGAAAGGACAGTCTCTTCAATAAATGTTGTTGGGAAAACTAGGCATCCACATGCAGAAGTGTAAAATTAGACTACATCTCACACCATATACAAAAATAAATTTTAAAAAAAGACAAATGTAAGGCCTGAAACTGTAAAACTACTAGAAGAAAACATGGGAGAAATCTCCCTGTCACTGGCCTGGGCAATGATTTTTTTGTATGTGAATCCCAAAGGAAAGGCAACAAAGGCAGAAATAGACATATGAGATTACACCAAGCTAAAAAGCTTCTGCACAGCCAAGGATACCATCATCAAAGTAAAGAGACAACCTAAGGAATGGGAGAAAATATTTGCAAACCATACATCTGAAATATACAAGGAACTCAACTAAGAAAACAAATAACCCAATTTAAAAATGGGCAAAGGATCTGAATACACACTTCTCAAAAGCAAACATACAAATGCCCAATCAATTATATGAAAATATATTCAACATTACTAATCATCAGTGAAATGCAAGTTAAAACCACAATGAGATACCACCTCACATCTAGTAGAATGGCCATTACCAAAACAACAAAAGATAGTAAGTTTTGGTAAAGATAGGGAGAAGAAGGAACCCTTGTACATTGTTGGTGGAAATTGGTGCAGCCATAATGGATAACAGTATGGAGGCTCCTCAAAAAATTAAAAATAGAACTACCATATGATCCAGCAATCCCACTACTGGGAATATATCCAAAGGAAATGAACTCTCTATGAAATATCTGTACTCCCACATTCACTGTCACAGCTAAGATATGCAATCAATCAATTAATGGATAAATGAATAAATAAAATGAAGCATACACACATATTGGAATATTATCCCACTTAAAAAAAGAAAATCCTGGGCTGGGCGCGGTGACTCAAGCCTGTAATCCCAGCACTTTGGGAGGCCGAGGTGGGTGGATCACGAGGTCAAGAGATGGAGACCATCCTGGTCAACATGGTGAAACCCCGTCTCTACTAAAAATACAAAAAAATTAGCTGGGCATGGTGGCACGTGCCTGTAATCCCAGCTACTCAGGAGGCTGAGGCAGGAGAATTGCCTGAACCCAGGAGGCGGAGGTTGCGGTGAGCCGAGATCGCGCCATTGCACTCCAGCCTGGGTAACAAGAGTGAAACTCCGTCTCAAAAAAAAAAAAAAAAAAAAAAAAGAAAGAAAATCCCGTCACGGATGAACCTGGAGACATTCTGTTAAATAAAATCAACCAGGCACAGAAAGACAAATACCATATTACCTCACTCGTGGAATTTTAAAAAGCTGAGGCTGGTCCAAAGGTAGTAAATTATCTCAATTGACTGTTCACAGTCAGTTACAGATCAAACTCTTTATTCTACTCTTTCCCACCTTCTCAGTAGTGCACTTGACTAGTCTAAAAAATAATAAAAAATAACAAAGTTGTAAGGCCAGACATGATGGCTCATGCCTGTAATGTCAACACTTCAGGAGGCCCATATGGGAGGATCAGTTGAGGCAAGGAGTTCCAGACCAGCCTGGACAACAGCAAGATCCCATCTCTACAAAAACATTTTTAAAATTAGTGGGACATGGTTGTGTGCCTGTAGTCCCCACTACTTGGGAGCCTAAGGCAGGAAGGCTGCTTGAGTCCAGAAGACTGAAGCTGCAGTGAGCCATGATCATGCCACAGTACTCCATGCTGAGCAACAGAGCAAGACCCTGTTCCTTATTTTAAAAAAAAGAGAGAGTGGGGCCGGGCGCCGTGGCTCACGCCTGTAATCTCAACACTTTGGGAGGCTGAAGTGGGCGGATCACGAGGTCTGGAGATCGAGACCATCCTGACCAACATGGCGAAACCCCGTCTTATAAAAAAAAAAAGAGAGAGAGTGGTTAACAGACTGGTTGGCAGAGAGGGGAAGGGTTGGGGAGATGTCAGTCAAAGAATATGAAATTTCAGTTAACAGGAGGAATACATTCAAGATCTATTGTACATCAGGATGACTATAGTTATTAACAATGTACTATATTAGTGAAGATTGCTGACAGATTTTAAGTGTTCTCACCACAAAAAAATGGTAAGCACGTGAGGTAATACATATGTTAACTAGCTTGATTTAGCCATTCCACAGTGTATATATTTCAAAACAACATGTTATACATGATAAATATATACAATTTTATTAGTCAATTAAAAAATAAGACTGGGTGCATTGGCTCATGCCTGTAATCCCAGCACTTTAGGAGGGCAAGGCGGGTGGATCACTTGAGGCCGGGAGTTCAAAACCAGCCTGGCCAGCATGGTGAAACCCCATCTCTACTAAAAAAAAAAAAATAGAAAAAATAGCTGGGTATAGTGGCGTGTGCCAATAATCCCAGCTACTCAGGATCTGAGGCAGGAGAATCGCTTGAAACTGGGAGGTGGAGGCTGCAGTGAGCACAGATCATGCCAGTGCACTCCAGCCTGGGCAACAGAGCGAGACTATGTCTCAAAATAAATATATAAATAAATAAAATAAAAATAAAACAAGCTGGCCACAGTGTCTCACACCTGTAATCCTGGCACTTTGAGAGGCCAAGATGGGTGGATCGCTTGAGATCAGAAGTTCGAGATCAGCCTGACCAACATGGAGAAACCTCATCTCTACTAAAAATACAAAAATTAGCCAGGTGAGGTGGCATGCACCTGTAATCCCAGCTTCTTGGGAGGCTGAGGCACGAGAATCACTTGAACCCAGAAGGCGGAGGTTGCAGTGAGCTGAGATCATGCCATTGTACTCCAGCTTGGGCTACAAAATGAGACTGTCTTTAAAAAAATAAAAAATTGTGGACTCCCCCCCACAAAAAAAAGAAACTGATGAAATGGAACAAAATGTTTGAAAAAGGAAAAGAAGAAAACAATTCTGAAAAAGAAAATGAACATACTCAACTATAGCCTCTATAGAGTGTAAAACTCATGAAACAACAATCAACATATATCACACACTCAATTCCCAACTTCATAAATACTGACAAAGAGGGATATCTAGAAGGCGGCATTGAGTAGTTTGATGTAAAATACACACATTCAAAATAGTTAATGCTAGAGTATAATCAAAGAAATAAAGTGAGAAGATGGGGAAGTCCTCTATGTTCAGAATAAACAGACACAAATAAACAGAACTTCAGACAGCCTCATCAGCAAGAGAGTAGCTACAGTCTTCTTAAATAAGATAGCATGAGTAGTTCAGGTCTGAATAAAGTCATTAACCTTAACTAAAAATAATCTCCCATCAGAAGAGAACAGCTACTGACTAAAAGAGACTGAACCTCTACAGACACAGGGAACCTAGAAGTAAGAACCCTTCTGGATAGGAACTAGCAAACGGACACTTACACAGTGTATGTTTGTAGGCAAAAATCAGCACTATTACATCTCTTTGACAATCAGATGTCTAATGTATGCACTGCAACAAACAGTTCACAGTAATCCACAGTCTACGTTTTTTGGCCTATAGAAGCCTACCTGATGGTGGTGAGGAGAGGAATGTTAGAAGATACACAGCTGCTGTCAAAAATTCTGCAAAATAGAGAGTAAGACACTCTTTTGTTTCTTAAAAACTTTACAAAACAAGTATCAGTGTATTTAACAAGCTTCTCATTAGTTCATGGTATGAAATATGTAACTGTCATTTAAAAATATGTAGGATTAGACTAGGTTTAGAGGCTCATGCCTATAATCCACAGGAGGATCACCTGAGGCCAGGAGTTTGAGACCAGCCTAGGCAACACAGTGAGACCCATCTGTACAAAAAATTAAAAATTAGCTGGGCGTGGGGCACATGCCTGTAGTCTGAGCTACTCAGGAGGCTGAGTGCAAGTAGATCACTTGACCCCAAGAGTCTGAGGTTTACACCGAGCTATGAGCACAACCTGTCTTAAAAAAAAAAAAAAAAGAGTAGGATCAGGCTCTAACAAATCTTGGCCAAGATACTAAACAAAAGTTAAAGATGTATTATAAAGTAAGTCAGTGCTTATAGTTTAGTGTAGAAATCATTTGGCTGGACATGGTGGCTCACACCTGTAATCTCAGCATTTTGAGGCCAAGGTGGGAGGATCACTTGAGGCCAGGAGTTTGAGAACAGCCTGGGCAATATAGTGAGACCCCATCTCTATAAAAAATAAATATATATATACAGCTAGGCAAATGCCTGTAGTCCCAGCTACTTGGGAAGCTAAGGCAGTAGGATTGCTGGAGCCCAGCAGATCAGAATTGCAGTGAGCCATGATTATGCCACTGCACTCCAGTCTGGGCAACAAAAAGATCCTGTCTGAAAAAAAAATGAATGATAAATGATAAATAGCAATAATTTATTTAAATACTATTACTCCAAACTTAAAATGCACTTTCTAAAGTAACAATTTGAACTGTCAAACTATATTCAACAATTCACAATAATATGGGATATAACGGATGTGGTCTGAAAATATACAAATTACCTAAAAGCACATCCATGTATCAACAGCAGTATTCCTGAGACTTACCAGTTGAAGGCCTGATAGTGTCATTTCCAGACTAAGACCAGCCAGCAACCGAGGAGAGGAGCTGCGTTTTGGTTTTTCAAGAGACAGCGTCTCATTGTGATGCTCAGGCTGAAGTGCAATGGCGCTGTCACAGCTCACTGAAGCCTTAACCTTCCAGGCTCAAGTGATCCTCCCACCTCAGCCTCCCAGGTAGGTGGGACTATAAGCACACACTATCACATCCGGCTAATTTTTTTTCTGTAGAGACAAGGTCTCCCTATGTTGCCCAGGCTGGTCTCGAATTCCTGGGCTCAACTGATCCTCCCGCCTCAGAAATGCTGGGATTATAGGCATGAGCCACTGCACATGGCCAAATAGAGCAGGTTTTATATGGCAGTTGGAGAGGAGTCTAAAAGCCTCCACTGAGCACCTCAGCAGAAGAAAACCAAAAGCACCGGGTGCGGCAGCTCACGCCTGTAATCCCAGCACTTTGGGAGGCTGAGGCGGGCGGATCACGAGATCAAGAAATCGAGACCATCCTGGCCAACATGGTGAAACCCCGTATTTTAAAAAAAAGAAGAAAAAAAGAAAACTGAAAGCATCTCCAACTTCTTCTCTTCTCCTTGTGCCTAGCTTTTCTATGTGGTTTCTAGGCACTAGAGCTTATGGCCTAAATAGATTAGTAGAAAGTCAAACCACTAACGGTTAATGTAACAAGAGTAAACTGCAGTGTAAATGAACAGGAACAGAACAGGTAGCCCTTAAGACAAAGAAAACTGCATGAGTGGAAAGGAGATCCTGGCCTGCCACTCCTGGTGACTCTCTTTCTGCACCATCTGGTAATACAGACTTTGCTAGAACCTAACTGGACACCTGTCACACTCTGCAGACCATGCTCTTCCCAATACATGGGTTTAAACAGAAATTGGGTGCCATTCTGGAGCCTGGTGCACAGTATACATTCAACTGAGTAATATATGAATTCCAAAATTACTTAAGGTAAAAACACTCATAAACTGAGAAGTGCTTGCAATTTTAAGCAGAATCGGGGATTCTAAAAGAGAACAAAATAATTTTCCTTTGTGACTACACTAATGTTCCCGATATCTTCACTGACACTGTTTTCTGTTCAATTGGTTTATATTACACTTTAAATCCGTTTTTAGGTAGTAGCTATAGAAAGGTACTAAAGCTAAAACCCTAGAACTATAAAACCATATCCAACCAATAGTTTGTATAGCATCCCAGTTTTTGCTATTTTCTGTCTGCCCAATGTCGGGAGCTCTGCAATTTCCATTCAGCACTTCACTTATGGAATAAATCCCACTGACCCCAAAGTATGCTAAAATTATCTCCTTTTCAGAATGCTATGCAGCCTGGTTTCTGGGATTCTTCAGTGCTAAAAGGGAAACCTGACCATAAACCCCCCAGGGTAGCTATGGACCTTTGCCAGTCTCGAAGAAATTTCAAGAACTGCTGAAAACCCATTAAATACAGGTCACTGGTCTTTGGGAACTGAGATATGACTACAAAACATTAACACTAGCAATTTAATAGGGACAGCAGTAAACAAAGCTTTTGACTAACACAGTAGTTACAGACTCCTCAGATTCCTTAAAAACATATTTCTGCCTTCCCAATTTACCTCAGATTACAATCAGCACATGTGGTCACCACTCTGTTACCAGTAAGAGGCGAAAAATAGGCAGAAGCAATGCTCTTTGTATGTTCAGTCAAAGAAATCAAAGGCTGACTTCCCCTGGAATTCAGGTGCCTTGCATCATAAATATGAATATCCCTGTAATGGCAGAAACAATGATCAGTGTTGCCATAGCAGATGTAACGAGACTCTACAACAGGACTAAAGGTAAGTTAGACACTCACATACTTGCTATACTGAAGAGCATTTAAGACAGAAACCTCTAATAATCTGTAATTTTCCCAAAAGCAGTATAGATAACAAGTAAAATACTAGACACATCCCAAAACTATAGTAGATACAGGTAACCAGTGTGTACAGAAAGACAAGTTTTGTTTTGCTTTATTTTGTTTTTTTGAGACTAAGTCTCGCTCGGTCATCCGGACTGGGGCACAGTGGTGTGATCTTGGCTCACTCCAACTTTTGCCTCCCTTGTTCAAGTGATTCTGCTGTCTCAGCCTCCTCAGTGGCTGGAATTATATGTGTGCACCACCACACCTGGCTGATTTTTGTATTTTTAGTAGGGATAGGGTCTCACCATAGTGGCCAGGCCAGTCTTGAACTCCTGACCTCAAGGGATCTGCTTGCCTCAGCCTCCCAAAGTGCTGGGATTACAGGCATGAGCCACCACACCCAGCCATCAAGTTTCTAACTGGTTTTTCAATCCTTCCAAGAAAAAAGTTAACACACATACAACTTTTTTTTTCCTTTAAATTTTCTTCTCATATGATTAAAAGTAAATGCATGTAATGCCAAGGAAAACAAAAATTTCTTTCAGCATTTTCACTATTTGTTAAATCTAAAAGAATTTCTACTTTTCCAAAAAAAAAATCACTCAAAAAAAGTTTCAATCAGTACAGAAAGGGAAAGTACTTGGCCTTTGGATATTACAAAAGTCAGGTATCTCTGACAACCAAACTAAACCAGGTAACTGTGGCATTAAAAGGTCCAAGTCATAAAGCCTTATAAAGACCATACCTCAATCCGGCAGTGATAAAATACTGTCTATGCACTGGGTGGACATGAACAGTTCTTATTTTTCCCATAGAAGAACTGATAAGTTTCTCATAAGAAGTTCCAGGTGTCCGTCTATCCACCAGTGACATCTTTCCATCCCAGTGTCCTACTATTAAAGTGGAGGCATCTTCTGCCAAGAAGTCGAAGGAGGAAAAGCTACTTCTTTCATTTCTATATACCTAAGAATATAAATACCAATCAGCTTGTACCACATTCCTCTTGTAAAGAAAACCAGAGCATAAACTATTTGGTAAAGAGTTACAAAACACTTTACTCAAATAACCTCATTTATTCTCCCACCATCCCCATCATATGCACAGGACACAACGGAAACACAATCAGGGTATTTAGGATATCCACCACTTTGAATATTTGTCATTTTTATGTGTTGAGATCATTTCAAGTCCTCTCTTCTGGCTATTTTAAAATACACAATACACTGTTTTTAACCATAGTTACCCTACCTCTGCTACTGAACATTAGAACTTATTCCATCTACCTGAAAATTAAAAAAAAAAAAAAAAAAAGAACGCAAAGAAGGCACTGATCAGCTGTGAGACTTGCCTATAATTAAATGGCCCACCTACCCGTATCATGGCTACATCCCAAATTTCTCAAACCCAATAAACCTCAGTTCCAGATCTACCCTTCGCAAATTAACAGGAAAATAACGCAATCAGAATTCTACCCAACAGAAATTAATATTAATCCTAATAAGCAAGGTAACTTTGCCAACCAAATCCAAGATGCACAGCTGAATGCCTACCTACTCTTAGTAGAAGAGTAAATTTATATATTTTTGACAGTTAATCAGGCTACATCTATCAAAATGTTTAATGCTTATACTTTTTGACTCAGTAATTTTACTAAGATCTATAACAACGCCTGCTGCAAGACTGCTTATAAGAAGCAACTTTAATATCCAACAAGAAAGATCTGGTTAAATAAATAATGGTCCATCTCTGCTTTGAAATACCATGCAATGCTAAAAAGAATAAGGTAGTTTTATATTATTAGCTGTCCAAGATATACTACTAAGTGAAAAGAGCTGCAAAAGGCTACATATATTAGTATGAATCCATTAGTATAAAGAAGAGGGAAAAAAAATGTGTAATTAGGCCGTGTGCAGTAGCTCACGCCTGTCATCTCACCACTTTGGGAGGCCAAGGCAGGTGGATCATGAGGTCAAGAGACCAAGACCATCCTGGCCAACACAGTGAAACCCCTCTAACTAAAATACAAAAATAATCTCGATGTGGTGGCGCATGCCTGTAGTCCCAGCTACTCAGGAGACTGAGGCAAGAGAATTGCTTGAAGCTAGGAGGCAGAAGTTGCAGTGAGCCGAGATTGTGCCACTGCACTCCAGCCTGGCTCCTGGTGAAAGAGGGAGACTCTGTCTCAAAACAACAACAACAACAACAACAAAAAGTATAACTATATGCTTGTAAGAATAAGTGCACTTTCTGAAAGCATACACAAGATATAGGCCGGGCGCGCTGGCTCACGCCTGTAATCCCAGCACTTTGGGAGGCCGAGGCGGGTGGATCACGAGGTCAAGAGATCGAGATCATCCTAGTCATGGTGAAACCCCGTCCCTACTAAAAATACAAAAAATTAGCTGGGCATGGTGGCGCATGCCTGTAAACCCAGCTACCCAGAAGGCTGAGGCAGGAGAATTGCCTGAACCCAGGAGGCAGAGGCTGCGGTGAGCCGAGATCACGCCATTGCACTCCAGCCTGGGTAACAAGAGTGAAACTCCGTCTCAAAAAAAAAGAAACAATGGTTACTTATGAATAATGGGAATGAAAGGCAGATTTACTTTCATATCTGATTTACTGTAAATATTTTATCATGAGCATGTTATTAAGTTTTTAATCACATGTAATCAGCAATGCAATCACTTTGGGTTTAGGACTCATACACATAAAGAACAAAAAAATAAATCTTTCTATCATGTAAGAGAGGACGACCACAATTCTTATTGTTGAATCATTAATTGCTGATTTTTAGTTCTAATAACAAGTATTATTAACTAAGAATAACAAACTAATATACTAGAGGCATCACAACCCCCAAGCCCGCCAAAAAGATCAATATATACAAATAAAACTTGACATACTCAGTATATTTACATTGTTAAGAGCAGGGGCTTTGGAGTCAGACAAACCCTAGTGTAAATTCTTGTTCTGCAATCTACGTCCTTGAGCAACCTCATAAACCTCTTTGCCTCGATTTTTTCACCTGTTAAATGCACATTACTCATTTTCTAAGGTGTTATAAACTTGATGTATATAAAGCACACTCAAGATAGTGCCTAGCATAAGGTAACCGTTCAGTCAGTAGAATCAGGAACAAATTATGAATATATGCAACAGCATGAATTAATCTTAAAAGTGTTACACTAGGTAAAAGAAGCCAGAAAAAAAAGGCTACATATAATTGCAATTGCTTGACATTCATGAAAAGACAAAAGTATAGGGACAGTAATCACATTAGTGGTCACCAGGGACTGCAGGCAGTGGAAGGACAATGACTACAAAAGGTCATGACACAATTTTGGAGGAGATGGAAATTTTATACACACACACACACACACACACACACACACATATATATATTTTTGAGATAGAGTCTCACTCTGTCACTCAGGCTGGAGTGCAATGATGCAATCTTGGCTGACTGCAACCTCTACCTCCTGGGTTCAAGCAATTCTCCCTGCCCTTGCCTCTGGATAGCTAGGATTACAGGCGTGAGCCCCCATGCCTGGCTAATTTTTGTATTTTTTTTTTTTTTAGTAGAGATGGGGTTTTGCCAAGTTGGTTTCAAACTCCTGACCTCAAGTGATCCACCTGCCTCAGCCTCCCAAAGTGCTGGGATTACAGGTGTGAGCCAAGGCACCTGGCTCCATATCTTAATTATGATGGTTACGTAGGTGTACGCAATTCATCAAAACTGACAGAACTGTACACCTAAAATGGTAAATTGTATCGTATGTAACATATTTCTCTTTTTTGAGTGTCTCCCTCTGTCACCCAGACTGGACTACAGTGACACAATCTCGGCTTACTGCAGCCTCCACCTCCCAGGTTCAAGCAATTCTCATGCCTCAGACTCCCGAAAAGCTGGGACAACAGATGCACGCTACCATGCCTAGCAAACTTTCGTATTGTTAGTAAAGATGGGGTTTCCCTGTGTTGGTCAGGCTGGTCTCAAACTCCTAAGCTCAAGTGATCTGCCCTCCTCGGCCTCCCAAAATGCTGGGATTACAGGCATGGTGGCAGGCACCTGTAATCCCTATAATCCCAGCTACTCAGGAGGCTGAGGCAGGAGAATTGCTTGAACCCAAGAGGCAAAGGTTGCAGTAAGCGGAGATCACACCATTGCACTCCAGCCTTGGCAAAAGAGACTCAGTCTCCAAAACAATAACAGTATTAATTATGAACCATCTATACATATTTAGAATAACTGCAAAATACCAGAATGTGTTAATTTTGAGCACTGGCTTATATAAAAAAAAACTAAGGCATAAACTTGATCATCAATTAGTAACTTTAAAGTAACTTCAGTAATGAGTATATGGTTTTCTGCATTGTGTATCACATACAAATTGCTCTTAAACTGACAATCTCTAAAAATTTTTTAAATCCCATTCAAAATAAGATAAAGGATAAAGATCTACATTTAAATTTTCATTCTAAGTTTTACAAATATTAAAATCTATATATTTTTTAAGTTCAAATTATGGCTGAGCATAGTGGCTCACACCTGCAATCCCAGCACTTTGGGAGGCCAACGCTTGCGGGTCACCTGAGGCCAGGAGTTTGAGACCAGCCTGGCCAACACAGTGAAACCCCATCTCTACTAAAATACAAAAGAAATTACCCAGGCATGGTGGCATGAGTCTATAGTCCCAGCTACTTGGGAAACTGAGGCAGTAGAATTACTTGAACCTAGGAGGTGGAGGTTGCAGTGAGTCAAGATAAAGGCACTGCACTCCAGCCCGGGCGACAGAGCAAGACTCCATCTCCACACACACAAACAAAATATAAAAATTAGCCAGGTGTGGTGGTGGGCACCTGTAATCCCAGCTATTTAGGAGGCTGAGGCAGGAGAATCACTTGAACCCGGGAGGCAGAGCCTGCAGTGAGCCAAGCGGAGGTTGCAGTAAGCCAAGCAGAGGTTTCAGTGAGCCGAGATCGCACCACTGCACTCCAGCCTGGGTGACAAGAGTGAAATTCTGTCTAAAAAAAATAAAAAACAAAGCCGGGTGCGGTGGCTCAAGCCTGTAATCCCAGCACTTTGGGAGGCCGAGGCGGGTGGATCACGAGGTCAAGAGATCGAGACCATCCTGGTCAACATGGTGAAACCCCGTCTCTACTAAAAATACAAAACATTAGCTGGGCATGGTGGTGCGTGCCTCAGGAGGCTGAGGCAGGAGAATTGCTCGAACCCAGGAGGCGGAGGTTGTGGTGAGCGGAGATCGCGCCATTGCACTCCAGCCTGGGCAGCAAGAGTGAAACTCTGTCTTAAAAAAAAAAAGAAAAAAGAAAAAACAAAGTTCAACTTATGATAATTCTCTTATTGAGGCAATCTGATACAGTTAAGGAAATCTGAAAGTTCATCTCAAAAAGTATGTTTGTTTTAAACATTAAGGAGAAGATGTTTTCTTTTGAGAGAAGGTCTCACTCTGTCGCCCAGGCTTAAGTGCAATGAAGTGATCACAGCTTTACTGCAGCCTTAGTCTCCTTGGCAAAACTGATCCTCCCACCTCAGTCTCCTGAGTAGCTGAGACTACAGGCACACACCACCACACCCAGCTAATATCTTTTATTTTTGGTGGAGACAAAGTATTGCCATGTTGCCCAGGCTGATCTGGAACTCCTGGCCTGAAGTGAGTCTCCCACCTTGGCTTCCCAAAGTACTGGGATTACAAGCATGAGCCACCACATCCAGCTAAATATAAGTCTTATGCCTAAAAACAGAAAAATAAGTTACTTTATTTAAAACCTTTGGGAAAAAAAATTAGCAAGTGCAAACACACACTATGTGCTAGGCTCTGTTCTAAGTATTTTATCTGCATAAACTCATGAAATTCTCATGACAACCCTATAAGATCAGTACTTTTATATCCCATTTCACAACTAAGGAAAGTGACACACAAAGAGGTTAAGCAACTTGTCAAGGTCATACAACTAGTAATAGATGATCTGGGATTTGAACTTAGTGTATTTCTCAAAGTCTTTCTGCTATACCACTTCTACCAATATGATTGATATAATAATTATTCATGGGACATTTCATAAATAATCCAGAATATCATCTGAGGTCAGCATGTAAACACATTAACAGTTACCTCTTCAAAAACAGCCCTGGAAAAATCCCCACAGCGTAACGTGCCATCATAGCTTAGCGACAGTATGTGGGCCGGATTGACGGGTGAAAAGTAAAGACAGCTAACTGGCTGACTATGGGGATGAAAAAGGTAAACTCCATCTTCTTTAGGTTGCTGGGTCTGGAAGAGAGTTGAGAGTGAGGAGAGAGAACAAAACTAGTGAAAAGTAGTGATTTTTGCTATGCTAATATGTCATTAAAGAATTTACATTTACAAAGGATTATATTGTCTTTTCTTAGTCTATAATTGTAACCACTCTTCCCTTCACAAAGTCAGAACTAGAAACTTTATCGTCATTAACTTTTCTGTAGTTATCAATCCAACAATACCAAGTCACATTAAGTGACCAGCTTTCTGCAACTAATATACTACTTTATATATTACTGTCAGTTCATAAAATCCTCAGAAAATGAGAAATCTACTCTTTATTTCACATATGGTGTAAGTGCTAACCAAAACAGTATCAGTACCTTATCACTTTGCTTCTGCAGCAGGCTTCTGTATAATATTAATTTACTCATTCTCAGCATAATTTTCATAAGGTATTTGGTCTTGGGACAAAAATGATACTTTTAGACGTATTTTGTCCTCTAAATACACCATTAAAAGGCATGTATTTGAATTTCCGTATTAATATACCTACTCCTAAGGACTACTCTTTCCATAATGGATTGCCAATTCCTGAGAAGTCACTTTTCAGATCAAAGTAAGTTATGTTTGTATGCCGTGTGGCATATTATGAACCAGACAAAGCATCACCTCCAAATCTGGCTTAGTCTACTCTGAAATGGTAAAGCACTTTTTTTAAATTTTAAATGAAATATTTTTATAAGGGAAAAAAGAGAAAAAATTATCATCACACATACTCTTCCTGTTACCAGAAACTACTGGCATATTTGTTTACAGCATTTGTTTTCTAGAAAAGCAAACCTTTCTCTTGCTATAAAGAACTCAAACAATGCAGAAATGTACAAAGATGAATGTTTTTAAAAAATCACTCCAGAACAACAACAACAAAAAAAATCACTCCAGGCCACGGGCACAGTGGCTCACACCTGTATTCCTAGCACTTTGGTAGGCCATGGCAGGTGGATCACAAGGGCAGGAGTTCAAGACCAGCCTGGCCAAGATGGTGAAACCTCACCTCTCCTAAAAATACAAACATTAGCTGCAGGTGGTGGTGGGCGACTGTAATCCCAGCTACTAGGGAGGCTAAAGCAGAGAAATGCTTGAACCAGAGAAGTGGAGGCTGCAGTGAGCCGAGATAGCGCCTCTGCACTCCAGCCTGAGAGACAGAGTGAGACACCATCTCAAGAAAAAAAAAAAATCACTCCAGGATCAGTGTAATGACTCACGCCTGTAATCCCAGCACTTTGCGAGGCCGAGGTGGAGGCATCACCTGAGGTCTGCAGTTCGAGACCAGCCTGACCAACATAGTGAAACCCCATCTCTACTAAAAATACAAAACTTAGCCGGGCATGGTGGTGCATGCCTGTAATCTTGGCTACTTGAAAGGTTGAGGCAGGAGAATTGCTTAAACCCAGGAGGTGGAGGCTACATTGATCCAAGATCACACCACTGCACTCCAGCCTGGGCAACAAAAGCAAAACTCCTTCTCAAAAAAAAAAAAAAAAAAAAAAAAAAAAAAAGAAACAACTTTCCAAATCTAAAATTAGCCAAAATTATCATGAAAATACTGAGTATTATTATAGACATCTTTATAGTCAAATTCAATGTAATTTAAAATGGCACATATCACATGGTCCTTTTGTAAAATTTCTTCTCTGTCATTCTATCTGTATAGGTACATACAAAGATGTCAAAATAATTTAAGAATATGAAGCTAAAGGAATTTTTAAACTTCAAGTATTTACAGAGACATTATCTCCTGCAACGACAAAAGTATAAAACAAGAAGGAACTGTAGTCATTATGCTTTTTATTTTTTGAGATGGGAGTCCTGCTTTGTCACCCAGGATGGAGTACAACGGTGCCTCAGCTCACTGCAACCTTTCGCTCCCAGGTTCAAGCAATTCTGCCTCAGCCAACCTAGAAGCTGGGATTACAAGTACACACCACCACGCCCAGCTAATTTTTGTAGTTTTAGTAGAGACGGGGTTTCATCATGTTGGTCAGGCTGGTCTTGAATACTTGACCTCATGATCCACCTACCTCAGCCTCCTAAAGTGCTGGGATTACAGGCGTGAGTCACCATGCCCGGTGGCTTTTTATTTTTTAAACTGTTAATTTTAGACAATTTCTATTGATGACTGATTTGAGAATCTTATTCTCACCATACCTCCAACAGTCTTTTTTTTTTTTTTTTGAGATGGAGTCTCACTCTGTCACCCAGGCTGAAGTGCAGTGGCATGATCTTGGCTCACTGCAACCTCCGCCTCCTGGGTTCAAGAGATTCTCCTGCCTAGGCCTCCTGAGTAGCTGAGATTCTAGGCGCTCACCACCACGCTTGGCTAATTTTTGTATTTTTAGTGGAGATGGGGTTTCACCATGTTGAGACAGGAGAATCGCTTGCACCCCCTAGGAGGCAGAGGTTGTGGTGAGCGGAAATGCACTACTGCACTCCAGCCCGGGGGACAGAGTGAGACTCTGCATAAAAATAAAAATAAAAATCAAGGCAGGGTGGTGGCTCACACCTGTAATCCAAGCACTTTGGGAGGCCGAGGTGGGTAGATCACGAGGTCGGGAGTTTGAGACCAGCCTGGCCAGTATGGTGAGACCCCATCTCTACTAAAAATACAAAAATTAGTTGGGTGTGGTGCTGCGCACCTGTAGTTCCAGCTACTCAGGAGGCTGAGGCAGGAGAATCTCTTGAACCCGGGAGGCGGAGGTTGCAGTGATCTGAGATCTCACCACTGCACTCCAACCTGGGTGATGGAGCACAATTCTGTCTCAAAAAACAAACAAACAAAAGAAGATTTAGTAAGCTTCTCATATTCCTGGAACATGGTGTACACATTCAACTGCCAATTCAATTCTGCCTTAATTGCAGGAAATTTTTCTAAATATACTTTCTGTTCCATTTGTTGGATCATCTTTAATTGCCTTTTTCTTCTTTTTAGATGGAGTCTCACTCTGTCACCCAGGCTGGAGCACAGTGGCAGGATCTCAGGTCACTACAACCTCTGCCTCCCAGGTTCAAGCGAGTCTCCTGCCTCAGCCTCCCGAGTAGTCCGGAGTACAGGTACCCGCCTACTTTTTGTATTTTTAGTAGAGACGGGGTTTCACCACATTGGGCAGGATAGTCTCTATCTCTTGACCTCGTCATCTGCCCACCTCGGCCTCCCAAAGTGCTCAGATTACAGGTGTGAGCCACCATGCTTGGCCTTGTTCATTAGTATATACCAGGATTCATACCACTGTTACCATTCCCATGGGCCAAGAAAACTTCCTTGAAGATGATCAGTTCTACTATTCACTTTCCCTACTTCCTCTATTTTTCTTCATTTTTCCCCAGCAACCATTTCCCTATTTCTCATTCAAAAGAGGGAAAATCAGAATACAATGTGCTTCTATTTTTAATAATACAGGAGAAAATTCTCAGAATCTGTTCCATTTAGCAGTATGGATTCTGTGCACAAGGCAGAGCAGAAGCTAAATTATGCTGTCTACTAGCTCTGCTGCAGGATTTCTCTCCTTGGTAGCTAGTTTTTAAGTGTACTACATTAAGTTCTGCTTCTTTCTTATTGGAATAAGTAAATTTAAAAAAAAATTTTTTTTTGCAGACAGGGTCTCACTCTGTCAATCCAACCTGGAATGCAGTGGCATAATCATGGCTCACTGCAACCTCAATCTCCTTGGGCTCAGAAGATCTTCCCAGCTCAGCTTCCTGAGTAGTTGGGACTACAGGCACACACCACCACACCCTTTTTTTTTTTTTTTTTTGGTAGAGACAGGAGTCTCACTATGTCACCTAGGCAGGTCTGGAACTAGTGGGCTTAAGCGATCCTCTTGCCTCAACTTCCCAAAGTGCTGGAATCACAACTTCCCAAAGCGCTGGAATCACAGGCATGAGCCACTGTGCCCAGCCGGCATGAGGGATCTTACAGAAATGATGAAAATGCCAAGGTTAAATCTTTCTCAAAAAAACAAAAAAAGACCAAAAAAAAAAAAAAAAGAAAGAAAGAAATGATGAAAATGCTCTAAAACCAGACTATGAAAATTAAACAACTCAGTAAACTTATTAAAAACCATTGAGGCCAGGCATGCTGGCTCACACCTGTAATCCCAGCATGGGGAGGACAAGGCAGATGGATTATTTGAGGTCAGGAGTTCGAGATCAGCCTGGCCAACATGAAGAAACCTCATCTCTACAAAAAATACAAAAATTAGCTAGGTGTGGCAGCAAGCACCTATAACCCCAGCTACTTGGGAGGCAGAGGCACAAGAATTGCCTGAGGCCAGGAGGCAGAGGTTGCAGTGAGCTGGGATCATACCACAGCACTCCAGCCTGGGCAACAGAGTGAGACTCCCATCTCAAAACAAAAAAAAGGGCCAGGCGCAGTGGCTCACGCCTGTAATCCCAGCACTTTGGGAGGCTGAGACGGGTGGATCACAAGGTCAAGAGATCGAGACCATTCTGGTCAACATGGTGAAACCCCGTCTCTACTAAAAACACAAAAATTAGCTGGGCATGGTGGTGCACGCCTGTAATCCCAGCTACTCGGGAGGCTGAGGCAGGAGAATTGCTTGAACCCAGGAGGTGGAGGTTGCGGTGAGCCGAGATCGCGCCATTGCACTCCAGCCTGGGTAACAAGAGCAAAACTCCGTCTCAAAAAAAAATAAATAAAAAAGAAAAAAAAGAAAAAAAGAAAACGCTGCATTTTACATTTTAAGTAGGTGGATTTTATGATAAATTATACCTCCATAAAGCTACTTAAAAAAACTGGGAAATTGTGAGCACAGGATAGGCAAGATGATATTGTTTTTAGACTTGCTAAGTCTGTTAACGAGATTGCCAAGTATCCTGGAACTAGGTGAATGGAGATACTGGACTATAGAGACCTAGTCATACAGATTTTTTTTTTTTTTAAGACGGAGTTTCACTCTTGTTACCCAGGCTGGAGTGCAATGGCGCAATCTCGGCTCACCACAACCTCCGTCTCCTGGGTTAAAGCAATTCTCCTGCCTCAGCCTCCCAAGTAGCTGGGACTACTGGCGTGCACTACCATGCCCAGCTAATTTTTGTATTTTTAGTAGAGACGGGGTTTCACCATGTTGACCAGGAAGGTCTCGATCTCTTGACCTCATGATCCACCCACCTCGGCCTCCCAAAGTGCTGGGATTATAGGCGTGAGCCACCGCGCTCAGCTGTAATACAGATTTTTGGAGTCACCAGGAAAGATAGGAGGAAAAGGATTTTTGGGCCAGGCACAGTGGCTCACGCCTGTAATCCCAGCACTTTGGGAGGCCGAGGTGGGCAGATCATAAGGTCAAGAGATGGAGACCACCCTGGCTAACACAGTAAAGCCCCACCTCTACTAAAAATACAAAAAATAAGCCGAGCATGGTGGCATGGCACATGCCTGTTAATCCCAGCTACTTGGGAGGCTGAGGTAGGAGAATTGCTTGAACCCGGGAGGTGGAGGTTGCAATGACTTAAGATCACACCACTGCACTCCGGCCTGGGCGACAAAGTGAGACGCCATCTTAAAAAGAAAGAAAGAAAGAAAAAGAAAAAAGGATTTTCACGTAAGTCTTAAATTCATTTTTTTTTTTTAAAAAAAGACGGGGTTTCACCATGGTGGCCAGGCTGGTCTTGAACTCCTGACCTCAGGTGATCCACCCACCTCGGCCTCCCAAAGTGCTAGGATTACAGGCATGAGCCACGGCGCCCGGTCGTAAGTCTTAAATTCTATACAGATTAACTCATCCAAAAAATATCTTCACTTAATCATGCTAATTCACAATTTTTCCTTTTCAAAATTCTTCAAATAGTCTCAGGGCTTGGCACAGTGGCTCATGCCTGTAATCCAAGCTCTTTGACAAGAAGCCAAGGGAGGTGGATCACAAGGTCAGACCAGCCCAGCCAACACGGTGAAATTCTCTCTACTAAAAATACAAAAATTAGCTGGGTGTGGTGGCGAGTGCCTGTAGTCCCAGCTACTAAAGAGGCTGAGGCAGGAGAAATGCTTGAACCTGGCAAGTGGAGGTTGCAGTGAGCTAAAATCAAGCCACTGTACTCCAACCTGGGCAACAGGAGCAAAACTCCATCTCAAAAAGAAAAAAAAAGTATTCTCAGATGGGGGCAGTGGCTCACACCTGTAATCCCAGCACTTTGTGAGGCTGAAGCAGGTGGAATGCTTGAGCTCAGGAGTTCTAGATCAGCCTAGGCAACATAGCGACAACCCTGTCTCTACAAAAAATAAAAAAAATTAGCCAGGCATGGTGGCACATCACTGTAACCCCAGCTACTCAGGAAGCTGAAGTAGAAGATCGCTTGAGCCTGGGAGGCTGAGGCTGCAGTGAGCTATGATCATGCTACTGCACTCCAGCCTAGGCAACAAAGTGGGATTAAGTCTCAGAAAAAAGAAACAAACAAAAAAAACAGTAGTCTCTATCCCATTGCTTCCAGTTCTTCCATTACCCCATACTTTCTTAATCTCCAAAAGCCCCTGTTCCTTACTTAACTCATTGTCAAAGCTATTCTCTCAACTAATGGTACCCTATTTTCATAATCAATGGCCTTTTCTCCATTCTTTTTTTTTTTTTTTTTTTTTTTTTTGAGACGGAGTTTCACTCTTGTTACCCAGAGTGCAATGGCGCAATCTCGGCTCACCGCAACCTCCGCCTCCTGGGTTCAAGCAATTCTCCTGCCTCAGCCTCCTGAGTAGCTGGGACTACAGGCATGCACCACCATGCCCAGCTAATTTTTGTATTTTTAGTGGAGACAGGGTTTCACCATGTTGACCAGGATGGTCTCGATCTCTTGACCTCATGATCCACCTGCCTCGGCCTCCCAAAGTGCTGGGATTATAGGCTTGAGCCACCGCGCCCGGCTCATTCTTTTAACTTCTCTGCAAAATGCTCTGCCAACCTCCCATCCTTGAAACTCTTATCTTGGCTTCTAAAATAGACTATTCTGATCTTCTTTCCACTTTTTTGCTTCAGTTGTCATTGCTAAATCCTATCACCTCCTACCCCCACTCACATCTTATCAAAATAAGGGAGAATCTCTGATCCCAAAATAAGAGAGAACTTGGTTTCTATCTCTGTCTTCCGACTTGCAAATTTTGTTTATAAACCCCAACCAACTTCAAGTCACCACTGTTTCATCTTCATTAATTATCCTTATGGCATTTTTCATGTCTTTGGTTTTCTTCCCCAATAAAAAAATAAATTCAGAGAACATTAACTTGACTTTTCTCAATTAACAACAGACAGCACTTCCTTCAGAATTATATGCACAATGAATGAAATGCAATATCTATTTCTGGCTCATCAAAGATGACTGGAATCATCCCAAAGCAGGTTCCTGGGAAGATATTTTGATACAGCTTAGAAACTGTGTCTTAGTCCATTTGGGCTGCTAAAACAACATACTGAGTGCTTATAAACGGCAGCAATTTATTTCTCACAGTCCTGGTGACTAGGAAGACCAAGGTCAAGATTCCAGCTCACGCAACGTCTGGCCACTTTCTGGTTCATAGTTGGTGCCTTCTAGCTGTGTCCTCATATGGTATAAGGGGCAGTGGTCTCTCTTGGGTTTCTTTTTTAAGGGCACTAATCTCATTCATGACCTTATCACCTCCCAAAGGTCCTACCTCCTAATATCACAGGGATCAGTATTTCGACATATGAATTTGGTGGGGGATTGCGGGGAGGGAATTCAGACCATAGCAGACAATATTTTAAACACAACTAGAAAACTAAGAACTTTGTGTGATCTTTTCACATACACATCTAAAGTGTAATAAAGTTTGCTGGCAGTTAATTTATGCCCAGATGGTTAATGATATTCAAGTTAAAAATATTAAAGTTCTATAAAGCAAATTTACATTCCTCCAGATTTCTAAAATTTGGAATCATAAAGCATCATAAAATCCAAAACTATAAGTCTCACACAACATTTATAAACACATGGCTCTAGCTTATTCTCTTCTAGGCTATTTGCTTTAGTCAAACTATAACATCTTCAAAAACTAATAACTTACCAAATCACAAAGTCCAACTTGCCCAAATTTGGCCCCAACTGCTACCAAAGTTCTAGTTTCGGATGGGTGGAGAGCCACAGAGAATATTGGGCCTGTGGTAACTTTGTAAACAGTATCTTCACTAATGACCATGCCATTTAAATTGGCTTTGTAGCTAAGAAAATTAGAAAGTTAAATTTTATAAGTAAAATCAATCTCAATAGTCAAACTAAGTAAAAGATGATTCAAAAGAAAAACCACAATCAGTAAACATGGGAAACTATTCAATCTCCTAGTAACCAAGGAAATCAAATCAAGCAATACTATGTTTCACTTTTTAAATTACCCTTGATAATTTTAATAACACCAAAAACTGATAGGCTGAAGTTAAATACACATACTAACACATATTGCCAGAGGAAGAGTAAGTTCATATAAAATTTTAGATGAAAGAAAAAAAGACTTTTTAGAAACAATTTGGCAATGTGTACTAAAAGCCATAAAAATGTTAATACTTGATGCATTAATTTCACTTGTGGAAATCTAACCTAAAGAAATAATCCACTATTATATCCATACACTTCAACAACACATACACAAATACACAGAACTAAATAGAAAGCAACTGCAAATACCAAGCAGGTGGGAGGAAAAGCAAATTCCCTCTACTCAACGGACTATTTTACAATCATTCAATAAGTTTAAAGACTCTAGCAACATGCAGGCCGGGCACGGTGGCTCATGCCTGTAATCCCAGCACTTTCAGAGGCCAAGTCGGGCAGATCACAAGGTCAAGAGTTTGAAACCAGTCTGGCCAACATAGTGAAACCCCATCTCTACCAAGAATACAAAAAAAATTAGCTGGGTGTGGTAGTGTACCTATAATCCCAGCTTCTCAGGAGGCTGAGGCAGGAGAATCACGTGAACCTGGGAGGCAGAGGTTGCAGAGGCTGCAGTGAGCCGAGACAGTGCCATTGCACTCCAGCCTGGGCAACAGTGCAAGACTCCTCAAAAAAAAAAAAAAAAAAAAAGACTCTAGTAACATGCAACCACAAACTAAAAGAACATTAATGTGGGCCAGGCACAGTGGCTCACACCTATAATCCCAGCACTTTGGGAGTCCAAGGCAGATGGCTCATTTGAGCCCAGGTATTCAAGACCAGCCTGTGCAACATAGCAAAATCTCATCTCTACAAATGTAAAAGTTAGTGAAGTGTGATGGTGCGTGCCAGTAGTCCAAGCTACTTGGGAGGCTGAGGTGGAAGGATCACTTGGGCCCAGGAAGCAGAGGTTCCAGTGAGCCAAGATTGTGCCACGCCACTGCAGCCTAAGCAACAGAGGGAGATCTTGTCTTTAAAAAAAACAGAGTGTAAAGCCGGGCGCGGTGGCTCAAGCCTGTAATCCCAGCACTTTGGGAGGCCGAGGCGGGTGGATCACAAGGTCGAGAGATCGAGACCATCCTGGTCAACATGGTGAAACCCCCGTCTCTACTAAAAATACAAAAAATTAGCAGGGCATGGTGGCACGTGCCTGTAATCTCAGCTACTCAGGAGGCTGAGGCAGGAGAATTGCCTGAACCCAGGAGGCGGAGGTTGCGGTGAGCCGAGATCGAGCCATTGCACTGCAGCCTGGGTAACAAGAGTGAAACTCCGCCTCAAAAAAACAAACAAACAAACAAACAAACAAAAAACAGAGTGTAGGCTGGGCATGGTGGCTCACGCCTGTAATCCCAGCACTTTGGGAGGCCGAGGCAGGTGGATCACGAGGTCAAGAGATGGAGACCATCCTGGTCAACATGGTGAAACCCTGTCTCTACTAAAAACACAAAAAATTAGCTGGGCATGGTGGCATGTGCCTGTAATCCCAGCTACTCAGGAGGCTGAGGCAGGAGAATTGCCTGAACCCAGGAGGCGGAGGTTGCGGTGAGCTGAGATCCCGCCATTGCACTCCAGCCTGGATAACAAGAGCAAAACTCCATCTCAAAAAAAAAAAAAAAAAAAAGAGTATAACACAAAATTGTATATACATTAGAACATGAAGTAAAAACTGATTAACTCATTTATTTAACATTTAACATATAATTATGTGCCAGGCACTTTTCTGGTTATTGAGATACAATTTTTGCCCTCATGAAGCTTATATCCTAGTAGTATTGCATAGGGCAACACTTAAGAAATATACAAAACATCTCACTTTCAAAATTCCCTGTAATGATATACAATCTTTATAACTCAAACATCTCAAAAAATATAAAAGAAACATAAGGAATTTCAACTTACCTTTTAATGCTAGATAACCCCTTCTCAGTGTTCTTACTACTTGGCTGAAACATTGAGAGAGATCAAGTACTAAGTTAATATATATATATATATATCTCCTTATCAGATGATTCTAAAGGCTATTAGCCTTCCTTCCCAAGCGATACCTTGCTCATTCCTGCCCATGTCCGCAGAAATCCTTTAAATCCTTCATTGTTGTCATCTTGATTTTCAGAAGTCATTTCTAAAGGCCCAGGAGGTAACAAAGGCTGTTATAAAAAAATAAAAAGTTTTTTGTTGGTCTCCCTGCCCTAGAATGTAAACACAGAAGGACAAGGGTACTTGTCTGTTTTTCTACAACTTCACTTTCTACATCAGCAATCATGGACATTCAAAATAACTGTTCAATAAATGAATGCCAGGTACCCTATAAAGTAATAACAACATGTATTATCTCATTAAATCCTCTCAACAACCTAGTGAATGAAGTATCACATTTTATTTATTATTATTATTATTTTTTGAGATGGAGTTTCACTCTTGTTACCCAGGCTGGAGTGCAATGGTGCAATCTCGGCTCACCGCAACCTCCACCTCCTGGGTTCAGGCAGTTCTCCTGCCTCAGCCTCCTGAGTAGCTGGGATTACAGGCACACGCCACCGTGTCCAGCTAATTTTTTGTATTTTTAGTAGAGACGGGGTTTCACCATGTTGACCAGATTGGTCTCGATCTCTTGACCTTGTGATCCACCCGCCTCGGCCTCCGAAAGTGCTGGGATTACAGGCTTGAGCCACCGCGCCCGGCCTATCATTATTTTTGAGATGGAGTTTCACTCTTGTTCCCCGGCTGGAATGCAATGGCGTGATCTCAGCTCACTGCAACCCCCACCTCCTGGGTTCAAGCAATTCTCCTGCCTCGGCCTCCTGAGTAGCTGGGACTACAAGCACACGCCACCATGCCCAGCTAATTTTTCTATTTTTAGTAGAGACTGGGTTTCACCTTGTTGACCAGGATGGTCTCGATTTCTTGATCTCGTGATCTACCCGCCTCGGCCTCCCAAAGTGCTGGGATGATAGGCATGAACCGCAGCCAGCCAAGGTATCACATTTTAAAGACACCAAATTCAAACTTAGGGAAGTTAACTTGCCCGAAGTCACAGAGCCAATAACTAAAGCAGCTGAGAATTGACTCAGATTATCTTAACTCATTACTCAGTATTATACCTACATTAGTAGTTTGTTGTTGTTTTGTTGTTGCAGAAAGCTGATTTTATTTAGGTAGAAAGAAGAGAAGGAAAGGAGAAGAGAAAGCCTTCCATGAAGAGTGTTGAAGGGGATTCTACAGGGGAAATCCTGGAGGGAGCTCCCACCATGCGGGAGGGGATAATATTTTTTTCTTTTTTCTTTTTTCTTTTTTGGGTGGATAGTATTTTTTTAAAAACAGTTTGTAATGCATAAATGGGTGAGAAATCATGTTAATATGTCACAACTACTGGGCGCGGTGGCTCAAGCCTGTAATCCCAGCACTTTGGGAGGCCGAGGCAGGTGGATCACGAGGTCAAGAGATCGAGACCATCCTGGTCAACATGGTGAAACCCCATCTCTACTAAAAACACAAAAATTAGCTGGGCATAGTGGCCTGTGCCTGTAATCCCAGCTACTCAGGAGGCTGAGGCAGGAGAATTGCCTGAACCCAGGAGGCGGAGGTTGTGGTGAGCTGAGATTGTGCCACTGCACTCCAGCCTGGGTAACAAGAGCAAAACTCCGTCTCAAAAAAAAAAAAAATGTGTCACAACTAGCAATTTGTTTCAGTCAATGAGAATAAAATAGAAATACCAGCCAGGTGTGGTGGCTCACACCTGTAATCCCAGCACTTTGGGAGGCCAAGGTGGGCAAATCTCTTTTTTTTTTTTTGAGACGGAGTTTCGCTCCTGTTACCCAGGCTGGAGTGCAATGGCGCGATCTCGGCTCACCGCAACCTCCGCCCCCTGGGTTCAGGCAATTCTCCTGCCTCAGCCTCCTGAGTAGCTGGGATTACAGGCACGTGCCACCATGCCCAGCTAATTTTTTGTATTTTTAGTAGAGACGGGGTTTCACTATGTTGACCAGGATGGTCTCGATCTCTTGACCTCGTGATCCACCCGCCTCGGCCTCCCAAAGTGCTGGGATTACAGGCTTGAGCCACCGCGCCCAGCCGCAAATCTCTTGAGGCCAGGAGTTTGAGACCAGCCTAAACAACATGATGCTCTCACCTCAGCCTCCTGACGATCTGGGACTATAAGGCACATGCTGCCACACCCAGCTAAGTTTTGTATTTTTTGTAAGGACAGGGTCTCTTTATGTTGGCTAGGCTGGTCTCAAACTCCTGGGCTCAAGCAACTGTCCTGCCTCAGCCTCTCAAAGCACTGGCATTACAGGCATGAGCCACTATACCTGGCCATAAATTTATTTCTTGTGGGCTGAGGCTTCGAAAAAATGTGAAAGCTAACTTCTATGCTGCTTCCCATAACACCTATATTTGCAATTTGCTCCCAAAGCACCGGCCTAATTAGTGCCACTCTCCTATTTACAATTAAATACTTAGATATAAAGTATTAAAAAATAGGTGTTCTTGAATAAAAAAAAATCTTAGACAATAAGTTTGCTAAATTAAATGCTACTCACTAAAATTAACATTAATAACTAGTTTACTGATTACTAAGACCTAATACAAAGTGAGAAACTTTACAGATATGATTTCATTTATGCTTACAATCGCTCTTTAGAGGTTTCTCTTTTTTTGAGACAGGGTCTTACTCTGTCGCCCAGGCTAGAATGCAATAGCGAGTTCTTGGCTCATTGCAATCTCCATCTCCCAGATTCAAGTGATTCTCCTGCCTCAGCCACCCAAGTAGCTGGGACTACAGGTATGTGCCACCACACCCAGCTAGTATTTTTGTATTTTTTAGTAGAGACAGGTTTCATCATACTGGACAGGCTGGTCTCAAACTCCTGACCTCAGGTTCTGCCAACCTCAGCCTCCCAAAGTGCTGGGATTACGGGCATGAACGACCGCTGCCTAGCGGAGGTTTCTTTTTTTTTTTTTTTAACTGAAATAAAATTGTACATATTTACTGAGGGTTCTATCATTGTTGACATTTTTTAAATGGGGAAATGATCAGAAAGGCTAATTAACTCACCCACAATCCTACAGCAGGTAAACCCTGCAGAAATACAGAATCCAATCCAGTCTTTATGGCTTTGAAATCTTACTCATTAATCCGTAACAGGCCAGGCGCAGAGGCTCACATCTCTAATACCATCACTTTGGGAGGACAAGGCAGGTGTACAGGAGGGGTACAGGTAAGGTCAAAAGTACAAGACCAACCTGGTCAGCATAGTGAAACTCCGTCTCTACCAAACATCTAAAAAATCAGCCAGGTAGGGCCGGATGCGGTGGCTCAAGCCTGTAATCCCAGCACTTTGGGAGGCCGAGGTGGGTGGATCATGAGGTCAAGAGATCGAGACCATCCTGGTCAACATGGTGAAACCCCGTCTCTACTAAAAATACAAAAAATTAGCTGGGCATGGTGGCACGTGCCTGTAATCCCAGCTACTCAGGAGGCTGAGGGAGGAGAATTGCCTGAACCCAGGAGGCGTAGATTGCGGTGAGCCGAGATTGTGCCATTGCACTCCAGCCTGGGTAACAAGAGCGAAACTCCGTCTCAAAAAAAAAAAAAAAAAAATCAGCCAGGTATAGTGGCACACGCCTGTAATCCCAGATACTCAGGAGGCTAAGGCAGGAGAATCATTTGAACCTGGGAGGAGGGGGTTCCATGCCACTGTACTCCAGCCTGGGCAACAGAGCAAGACTCCATCTCAAAAAAAAAAAAATTCAAGAATGAAATATAAAATTAAACATAATCTAATGAACTTTTAGTCTAGTTTCAACACTTGAAATTTTTCAGTATTTTATTAAGCAAAATACTGTATTTGCACATTTTCTTACAGTTTCATCTGCTACTAAGGCTGGTGGTGCTGGAGTTGCTGATAATAAAACTCCTGAAGGATCAGCTTTTAGTAATCGCATTGACCTTCTACATCCAATCCCATTTTCTCTCTTCTTAGGCTTCTTTCTAAAGGAGTAGGGAAAAATTCCTGTTATACTCGCAAACCAATAAAATATATTCACTAATATTAAAGAGGTAACTTCTAGGAATGTGTCCCACAGATATATTTAAACACTGCATAGCTATATATACATGACCACAATTATTTTAATAAGAAGTATGGAAAAAACTTAAACCTAAATGTTCATCATAGGGAGATGAGGGATGTAAGATAAATTATGGTATACATATCTAATAGAACAATATGCAACCATAAAAATAAAGATATAGATCTTTATATACTGCTGAAAGGAACCCTAGGTTATAAAAAGCAAAAAACAGGATGGGCGAGGTGGCTCACGCCTGAAATCCCAGCACTTTGGGAGGCCGAGGCAGGCAGATCACAAGGTCAAAAGATTGAGACCATCCTGGCCAGCATAGTGAAACCCTGTCTCTACTAAAAACACAAAACTTCATGCACCTGTAGTTCCAGGTACTCGGGAGGCTGGGGCAGCAGAATCACCTGAACCCAGGAGGCAGAGGTTATGGTGAGCCAAGATCGCACCATTGCACACCAGCCTGGCGACAGAGCAACACCTCATCCCCCCGCCCTCCTACCCAAAAAATGCAAAATTACATTTAAAAAAAAAAAAAAAAGGCCGGGCACCGTGGCTCACACCTGTAATCCCAGCACTTTGAGAAGCCAAGGCGGGTGGATCACGAGGTCAGGTGTTTAAGACCAGCCTGGCCAACATGGCGAAACCCCGTCTCTACAAAAAATGCAAAAACTAGCTGGGCGTGGTGGCAGGTACCTGTAATCCCAGCTACCTGGAAGGCTGAGGCAGGAGAATCCCTTGAACCCTCCAGCCTGGACAACAAAAGCGAGACTGTCTCAAAAAAAAAAAAACAAAGCAAAAACAAAGTCCAGTACATGTTTACAAAAAGGTTACATATACATTTGTACATGCTGAGGATACCTATGGAGGAATACACATAAAACTACTATTTGTAGGGAAAAGACCTGGAAAACTAAGGTCTAAAATAGGAAGGAAAGTTAAACATTTCACTGCATTCCCTTCCATACACTATAGTATACTTTTTAAATCATATACATTCCCTATTTTTTATGTACTATTTTCACATTTAAAAAAATAAATTATGGCTGGGCACAGTGGCTCACACCTGTAATCCCAGCACTTTGGGAGGCCGAGGTGGGGAGATCACGAGATCAAGAGTTCAAGACCAGCCTGGCCAACGTAGTGAAACCACATCCCTACTAAAAATACAAAAATTAGCCAGGCATGGTAGCGTACTCCTTTAGTCCCAGCTACCTGAGTGGCTGAGGCAAAAGAATCATATGAACCCAGGAGGCAAACGTTGCAGCGAGCCGAGATCACGCCACTATACTCCAGCCTGGGCAACACAGTGAGACTGTGTCTCAAAAAAAAAAAAAAAAAAAAAAAGTATAATAGCTTTCTAGGTAACAATTTAGTGGAAATGAAGATTTTCCTCCATTAGTAGCAACAACAAACAAAATTCAGCTCTCAATTCTATTTGCTCCATATTGCTTTGATAAAGATGAGAACTGTGAAGTTATTAAAGGGTAGCATTGCCTCAGAGATCCTATAGGGACTGAGATTAAGTAACACTTTATGATCTGTTAAGCTTACTATGCCAAACCATTTTTCTCAAATTATAAAACAACTGAACACTGTATCATGGTTTAGGCATTGCAAACCAGGTATTTTACCTCTTGGATTTAGGAGGCTGTCTCTTCTTTATCATTTCACGGAGTCTTGCAGCAGACTGTATAGTATAAAAAAACATGTAAAAATGTTATAACTACATATCTTACCGTTTAAAATATTAAGTATCTGCTACTATGCCCAAACTAAACTAACGTCTACTCAGGAACTAAAGATCCTTAAGAAATACAGTGAGTCATGATCAGTGCCACCGCACTCCAGCTTGGGCAACACAGCAAGACCCTATCTCAAAAAAAAAAATGCCTTAGAATCAATGGAATACAGTAACCTTTTCATATTAAGTACAAAACCTGGTCCTATTTTACACTTCCTCATCTGACACTATGAAACCTGGTATGTTATTGACCTTCTGTTGGGAGTTATGACATCTTGGGTTTTACTGCTGTTGTTGCTGTTACTGCTTTGAGACACAGTCTTGCTCTCTTGCCCAAGCTGGAGTGCAGTGGCACCATCAAAGCTCACAGCAGCCTTAACTTGTCAAGCTTAAGCCATCCTTCTACCTCAGCCACCCCAGTAGCTGGAACTCCACGCATGTATCACTGTGCTCAGCTAATTTACTTTTTATAGAGATTGGGGGGGATCTCCTTATGTTACCAAGGCTGATCTTGAACTCCTGGCCTCAAGCAATCCACCCACCTCAACCTCCCCAAGTGACAGGATTATAAGTGTGAGCCACTGGTCCCGGCCCTTCATCTTAGTTTTAAATATAGACTCCACACAAACCTCAGACAACTGAAGAGAAGCAAAAAAGTTTGCATTTTCTGATATGTTCTTCAGTCTCTTCCTTTCGTAGGGTGACAATCCTGAAAAATCATCCTATAAAATTACATTAAAAAGACTGCATTACTTTATATAATCTATAGCAAAAGCACTTCAGAAAACTGTTTTATTTTCTACTTGTACAGTTTACTTCAAATTGTTACTACTTCTATTTATTTCATGCCATCTTACCAAAAAAAGAGTTTGCTGAATTGGATATTTCATTAAGTCTGAATTTGGGATAACCACAAAACATTGTATGGCTTCCCAGTTAAGAAGTGACATTAGGAATCAAGTAGTATAATCTCGCAGCAAATTATTTCCTGTGGCAATTAATCGTGCTATTACTTAAAACTTATTTTTGGCCACGTGCGGTGGCTCACGCCTGTAACCCCAGCAATTTGGGAGGCTGAAACGGGCAGATAAACTGAGGTAAGAAGTTCAAGACCAACTTGGACAAAATGGTAAAACCTCATCTCTACTAAAAATACAAAAATTGGTTGGACGTGGTGGCTGACACCTGTAATCTCAGCACTTTGGGAGGCCAAGGTGGGCAGATCATCTGAGGTCAGGAGATCAGCCTGGCCAATGTGGTGAAATCTCATCTCTACTAAAAATAAAAATTAAAAAAAAAATTATCTAGGTACGGTGGCAGGTGCCTATAATCTCAGCTACTCAGAAGGCAGAGGCAAGAAAATCATTTGAACATAGGAGGTAGAGGTTGCAGTGAGCCGAGATTGTGTCACTGCACTCCAGCCTGTGTAAAAGAGCAAAACTCTATCTCAAAAAAGTTATCTTTATCAAACAAAAAAACTTTCTTTAAACACAGTAGAGAAGTACATGTTCCCACTTTCTCCTAAAAAGCCACTAATGTAACAGTAAACCAAATTTTTTAAACCCTGAGATATGAGATAGCATATGCAAGAAACACCACCAAAATACTATAAGAGAAAATTTAAAAACATAACTAAATAACAGAAGTTTTAAAATCCATTAAAAGGCTTAAATTTAGAAAGCAGAACAAAAAGAGATAAACACATGGACAGAAAACACCAAAAAACAGAGACTCAATCTTAGAGGTCCAATATCCAATTTATAATTCTAGAAACTGCAGAGAAACTGCAAGATAATAAATTATTAGAAAGGAGAGATCCAAGATGGCTGATCACTAGCAGCTTAGGATTGTAGCTCCCAGTGAAAGCGCAAAGAACGAGAGGACGACACACTTTCACATGAATTCTTGTTGCTCACGCACCAGGAGATTCCCAGCAGAGGAGCCCCACGGGTCGCCAGCGAAACTCTTGTGACCGGCGAGGCGGTTTTGCTGGCGCCTCGGAGCATTGGTTCTTGGTGCAGAGTCAGAAAAGCACCATCAATCTTAACGCTGCTGATTTAGTCGGCGCAGTGGGTTGCTCAGATTTCGGCGCTGAGAATCAATAAGTTGGACGTCCACTCAGAAACCCAATTACAAAGACGGTAACTATAAAGACCACAGATGGATAAATCTACAACGAAGGGAAGAAAACAGCCAAAAAAGGCTGAGAATACCCAAGATCAGAATGCCTCTCCCTCAGCAGGGGATCACAGTTTCTCATCAGCAAGGAAACAAGGCTTGATGGAGAACGAGTGTGTTCCAATTACAGAAGCAGGCTTCAAAATATGGATAGTAAGAAACTTCTGTGAATTAAAATAACTTGCTCTAACCCAATCCAAAGAAACTAAGCACTTTGAAAAAAGGTTTGACGAAATGTTAACAAGAATACACAATTTAGAGAGGAAAATAAGTGAATTGATGGAGCTGAAAAACACAAGAACTACGTGAAGTATGCACAAGTTTTAACAGCCGAATTGATCAAGCAGAAGAAAGGATATCAGAGGTCGAAGACCAACTCAATGAAATAAAACAAGACAAGATTAGAGAAAAAAGGATAAACGAACAAGCAAAGTCTCCAAGAATTATGAGACTATGTGAAAAGACCTAATCTACGCTTGATAGGTGTACCTGAATGTGACGAAGAGAATGAATCCAAGCTGGAAAATACGCTTCAGGATATCATTCAGGAAAATTTTCCCAACCTAGTAAGGCAGGATAACATTCAACTCCAGGTAATACAGAGAACACCACAAAGATATTCCTCAAGAAGAGCAACTCCAAGGCACATAATCGTCAGATTCACTAGGGTTGAAATGAAGGAGAAAATACTAAGGACAGCCAGAGAGGTCAGGTTACCCACAAAGGGAAGCCTATCAGACTTACAGCAAATCTCTCAGCAGAAACCCTAAAAGCCAGAAGAGAGTGGGGACCAATATTCAACATCCTTAAAGAAAAGAACTTTCAGCCGGGCGCGGTGGCTCAAGCCTGTAATCCCAGCACTTTGGGAGGCCGAGGTGCGTGGATCACGAGGTCAAGAGATGGAGACCATCCAGGTCAACATGGTGAAACCCCGTCTCTACTAAAAATACAAAAAATTAGCTGGGTATGGTGGTGCATGCCTGTAATCCCAGCTACTCAGGAGGCTGAGGCAGGAGAATTGCCTGAACCCAGGAGGCGGAGGTTGCAGTGAGCCGAGATCGCGCCATTGCACTCCAGCCTGGGTAACCAGAGGGAAACTCCGTCTCAAAAAAAAAAAAAAAAGAACTTTCAACCAAGAATTTCACATCCAGCCAAACTAAGCTTCATAAGTGAAGGAAAAATAAAGTTTTTTGTGAACAAGCAAGCACTCAGAGATTTCATCACCACCAGGCCTGCTTTACAAGAGCTTCTGAAAGAACCACTACACATAGAAAGGAACAAACAATATCAGCCTTTCTAAAAAATACCGACAAGTAAAGAGCATCAATATAATGAAGAATTTACATCAACTAATGGGCAAAATAGCCAGCTAATATTAAATGGCTGTATTAAACTCACATATATCATTATTAATTCTAAATTTAAATTGACTAAATCCCCCAATCCAAAGACAGATAGGCAATTTGGATAAAAAACTAAAACCCGGGCCGGGCGCGGTGGCTCAAGCCTGTAATCCCAGCACTTTGGGAGGCCGAGGCGGGTGGATCACAAGGTCAAGAGATCGAGACCATCCTGGTCAACATGGTGAAACCCCGTCTCTACTAAAAATACAAAAAATTAGCTCGGCATGGTGGCACGTGCCTGTAATCCCAGCTACTCAGGAGGCTGAGGCAGGAGAATTGCCTGAACCCAGGAGGCGGAGGTTGCGGTGAGCTGAGATCACGCCATTGCACTCCAGCCTGGGTAACAAGAGCAAAACTCCGTCTCAAAAAAAAAAAAAAAAACTAAAACCCATCAGTATGCTGCATCCAGACCCATCTCACGTTCAAGGATACACAAAGACTCAAAACAAGAGATGGAGAAAGATTTACCAACCAAATAGAGAGGTAAAATAAATAAATAAAAAGCAGAAGTTACAATTTTTGCCTCTGATAAAATAGTCATTAAAGCAACAAAGATCAAAAGAAGCAAAGAAGGACACTATATACTGATAAAAGGATCAATGCAACAACAGGAAGAGCTAAAGATCCTAAATATATATGCACCCAATACAGGAATACCCAGACATACAAGACTAATAAAGAGACTTAGACTCCCACACAATAAGAGTGGGAGACTTCAACATTAATATTAGACAGATCAATGAGACAGAAAATTAACAACGATATCCAGGACTTGAACTCAGATCTGGAACAAGTAAACGTAATTAACATTTACAGAACTCTCCACTTTAAATACACAAAATATACACTCTTATCAGTACCACATCATATCAACTTAGAAGTTTAAATGAAATGTTGGTTAGCTCCTTGTTTATTATTCTCTTCCCTCATTTTCTTTCATGTCTCCATTATTAAGGACAATTATAGGCATACCCATATTTAGACTGCATTCTAGCCTGGGCAATAAAGCAATACCCCCATTCTCTCTCCCTCTTCCTCTTTCTCTTTCTTCCTCTTCTTTTTTTTTTTTTCTTATTATTCTTTTTCTCTTTCTCAAAAAAAAATAAAAAATAAAAAATAAAAAAATAAATTATTAGAAAAATAATTTAAGTGGGAACTCAAGCAGGAGGATCACTTGAGCCCAGGAGTTAAAGATTGTAGTAAGCTATGATGACACCACTGTATTCCAGCCTGGGCAATGAAATGAGACACCATCTCTTAAAAAATTCTTTTAAAATGAAAAATATTATTTAAAAGTTTCTCAAAACTGAAGACATGAGCTTCCAGATTAAAAAGGGCCAATGAGTATGCAACACAATGAATGAAAAAGGACCCAGGCAAGCAGGCTCAGTAGCTCACCACTATAATCCCATCACTTTAAGAGGCCACTGGGCAGATCACTAGAGGCCAGGAATTCAAGACCAGCCTGACCAACATGGGAAACCGCGTCTCTACTAAAAACTCAAAACAATTAGCTGGGTGTGGTAGTGCACACCTGTAATCCCAGCTACTTGGGAGACTGAGGAACAAGAATCACCTGAACCCAAGAGGTGGTCGTTGCAATGAGCCAAGATAGCTCCACTGCATTCTAGCTGCTTGGGCAAGAGCAAGTCTCTGTGTTAAAATAAAAAAAAAAAAAACAGGCCAGATGCAATGGCCCATGTCTATAATTCTAGCGCCTTGGGAGCCCAAGGTAGGGGGCCAGGAGTTCAAGACCAGACTGGTCTCATCTCTACCAAAAATACAAAAATTAGCTGGTTGTGGTGGCGCATGCCTCCAATCAAAGCTACTCAGGAGGGCCGGGCACGGTGGCTCAAGCCTGTAATCCCAGCACTTTGGGAGGCCGAGGCGGGTGGATCACAAGCTCGAGAGATCGAGACCATCCTGGTCAACATGGTGAAACCCCGTCTCTACTAAAGATACAAAAAATTAGCTGGGCATGGTGGCACGTGCCTGTAATCCCAGCTACTCAGGAGGCTGAGGCAGGAGAATTGCTTGAACCCAGGAGGCGGAGGTTGCGGTGAGCCAAGATCGTGCCATTGCACTCCAGCCTGGGTAACAAGGGCGAAACTCAGTCTCAAAAAAAAAAAAAAAAAAAAAGCTACTCAGGAGACTGAGACAGGAGAATCGCTTGAAATTAGAAGGCAGAGGTTGCACTGAGGCAAGATCCTTCCACTGCACTCCAGTCTGGGCGACAAAGTGAGACTTTGTCTAAAAATAAAGAAAGAAGAACCTAGGGCTCAGCATATCACCACAATTTTTTTTTAAAAGAGACTGAGTCTCACTCTGTCACCCTGGCTGGAGTGCAGTGGCTCAATTACAGCTCAATTACTGCTTACTGCAGACTTGAACTCCTGGGCTCCAGCCTCAGCCTCCCAAGTAGCTGAAACTACAGTCCTGCCTTACCAAACCCAGCCAGAAAAGATCTTAAAAGCACACAAAGGGGAAAAAAGATCACAAAGAATCCAGAATCAGAATGGCACAAACTTTCAACATTGAGGGAAGCTGGAATACAATGGAACAATGCGTTAAAAATTCTAAGGAGCAATTCCAGCACTTTGGGAGGCCAAGGAAGGCAGGTCACAAGGTCAAGATATCAAGACCATCCTGGCCAACATGGTAAAAATCCATTTTTACTAAAAATACAAAAACTTAGCTAGGTGTGGTGGCATGCACTTGTAGTCCCAGCTACTCAGGAGGCTGAGAGAGGAGTATCACTTGAACCCAGGAGGCAGAGGCTGCAATAAGCCAAGATCACGCCACTGCTCTCCAGCTGGGCAACAGAGCGAGACTCTGTCTCGAAAAAGAAAAAAACATTCTAAGGAAAGATTAAATTATTTTCAACTTACAATTCTAAATCCAATTAGGTCATCAATTAAATAAAAGCTAAAGACTTTTTCTGGGAAGGGCACAGTGGCTCATGCCTGTAATGCCAGCACTGTGGGAGGCTGAGGCATGCAGATACCAGGTCGGGAGTTCAAGACCAGCATGGCCAATATGGTGAAACCTCATCTCTACTAAAAATTCAAAAAGTAGCCGAGCACAGTGGTGGACACCTGCAGCCCTAGCTACTTCGGAGGCTGAGGAAGAAGAATCACTTGAACCTGGGAAGTAGAGGTTAAAAGGAGCCGATATTGTGCCACTTGCACTCCAGCCTGGGTGACAGAGCAAGACTGTCTCAAAAAAAAAAACAAAAACAAAACTTTTTCTGACATGCAAAATATTTGCCTCATACACTTTCTCAGAAGCTGCACTTCACCAAAATGAAAGAATAAACCAACAAAGACAGCCATGGCTGGGCACTGTAATCTCAGCACCCTGGGAGGCTGAGGCAGGCAGATCACTTGAGGTCAGGCATTCGAAACCACCCTGGTTAACATGTAGGAACTCCTTCTCCACTAAATATACAAAAAATTAGCCGGGCATGGTGACACATGCCTGTAATCTCAGCTATTTGGGAGGCTGAGATGGGAGAATCACTTGAACCTGGGAGGTGGAGGCTTCAGTAAGCCAAGATCATGCCACTGCACTCCATCCTGGGTGACAGAGCAAGACCCTGTAATCAAAAAAAATATATATATATATATATCTTGGCTGGGCACAGTGGCTCGCACCTGTAATCCATTTCAGGAGGCTGAGGTGGGCAAATCACTTGAGCCCAGGAATTTGAGACCAGCCTGGGCAACAAACATAACACAACCCACATCTCTACATAAAAATGGCAAAATTACCCTGGCAAGATGGACACATGCCTGTAGTCCCAGCTATTTGGGAGGCTTTATTTTTTTTAAAACAAAGTCTCATTCTGTCACCCACACTGGAGTGCAGTGGCCCAATCTCAGCTCACTGCAACATCCACCTCCCAGGTTAAAGCAATTCTCCCATCTCAGCCTGGCTAATTTTTATAATTTCTTTTTTTCTGGGGTGGGGCATGGAGGAAGAGACAGTCGCACTCTGTCACCCTGGCTGGAGTGCAGTGGCGTGATCTTGGCTCACTGCAACCTCCACCTCCTGCATTCCAGCAATCCTCCTGCCTCAGCCTCCCCAAGCAGCTGAGACTACAGGCACCCACCACCACGTCTGGCTTATTTTTGTATTTTTAGTAGAGATGGGTTTCACCATGTTGGCCAGGCTGGTCTCGAACTCCACCCACTTCAGCCTCCCAAAGTGCTGGGAGTACAGGCGTGAACCACCAAGTTCAGCCTAATTTTTGTATTTTTTAGGAGAGATGGAGTTTCACCATTTGGGGCAGGCTGGTCTTGAACTCCTGAACTCACATGATACATCTGCCTCCTTTAATTTTTTTTTTTTTGTAACAACTCTATTAACTCATCTATTCCCTTACATCAAACTAAAATCTGCTTTATATTTACCTTGTATTCTCATAATCTTTAAGAGGCCAAAGGGATAATCTAATCCAGTGGTTCTCAAAGTGCAATTCTGGACTAACAACATCAGTGTCTCCAGGAAACTGTTAAATATGCAAATTGGGCTGGATGTGGTGGCTCAAGCCTATAATCCTAGCACTTTGGGAGGCTGAGGTAGGAGGACTGGTTGAGCTCAGGAACTCAAGTCGAGCCTGGGCAACACACACTCCTGCCCCTTCAACATCCTAATGTCTCTATTAAAGAAAAGAAAAAGAAAAAAGATATGCAAATTGTATGCTCCAACTTCAAAACTTCTGAATCAGAAACTCTGATGGTGGGGCCCTGCAATCCAGTCTTAACAAATTCTGCAGGTAATTTTGATACAGCCTAAAGTTTTAGAACCACAGATTTTATCCACTCCCCTCACTAAGGTGATTTGATTAAAGGAACAAGGTTTCTTACAAGTGGCGGTGCTAGACTCTCAACCCCAAGTCCAATTCATTTAACACTTACCCCATGCTGTTCCACTACGGGTCCTGGTTCTTAACTCTGGGATGAGAGATCATAAACCAAATTTCTATTTCATAACAATGTCCTTCAATTATAGTATCTCCCTTTCCCTACTATTATTTTCTGTTCCCTGAGTTCCAGCAACATTGTGTTATGTACTGTGTACGGTTTTATCTTGTCCTGTGTAAAGTTTGTCACTTTGAATGGAGCACAGCCCTCCTGGTGCCCAGCAGAAGCTAAAAGAATTACAAATCAAATTGCTTAAATTGATTGGAATTATATAGAACTAATGTGTTTCTCATGTATTTTCTCTACTCTGTCATTTGTCCCCTTTTGCATTTAAAGGAAATATATTCAACAAATCAATATAATCAATGTTTCCCTACCCTGATATAAAGGGTCAGTCAATACCTTATGTCCCACAAACTAATGACTTCTGATATACTGTACATAAACATGTAAAGGTGAGCAAGGCACCATAAAGTATGAGTAAGCCCAAAAATAAATGCAGTAAGTTCAGAGGGAGAAAAAGGGAAACAGAGTAAAGATTAAGTCAATCCTCTCATTGACAACACAGCAAGAGCAAAATTAATCCAAGGAAGTTATTTGTTAAACCTTAAAAATAATAGAAATTTATTGTTACATTTATACTTACATTAATGATGAAATAATTTGTTTGTATTAGAGAGATCCTTGATAAACTTCGCTTTATCAGAATGTCAAATTTCCAAATTGTAAAAGAAACTAGAACAAGCTACTAATTAAGTTCTTACCAGGCCTGGTGTGGTAGCTTCATCACTGTCTCCATCCTGACTACTTTCCATATCAACATCGAGATTCATCGCATCTGTTGTTCTCTCGTGTTGTAGCTCATTACTTTCAGTATGAACAGCTGAGGACGGATTTTGCAGTGTGGATTCTGCCTTGGAAGATGTGGTTTTCATCTTTGGAGGTATAATCCTTCTGCAGGTTTTCTTTATTTTAGTCTTCTTACACGCCACTTCATTGTTAGAATTCTTTTCTAATAGGGATTTGGGGCACATAAGCTGGTCTAGCTGATAATTACTAAGTGAAAAGGGGGTAAGATAGACTGTAGCTGTTTTTATTGAAACTGTAGTCTGTACTGGTTTCAGAGACACATAACCGATGTTTTGATTTTCTTTATATTCATTGACCTATTCAGATCAAAAAAAGAAAAGAGAATATAAGAATTCCAAGTCCTGTGCCTTTCCTTACAGGATCCCCAACAGATCTAATAATTCCATTTCACAATGACAATATAAATCCAAATTGAGGCCAGGTGAGGTGGCTCACACCTGTAATCCTAGCACTTTGGGAGTCCAAGGAAGGTGGATCACCTGAGGTCAGGAGCTCAAGACCAGACTGGCCAACATGATGAAACCCCGTCTCTACTAAATATAGAAAAATTAGCTGAGTGTGGTGGCCCGTGCCTGTAATATCAGCTACTCGGGAGGCTGAGGCAGGAGGATCGCTTGAACTCCAGGACAGGAAGGTTGTAGTGGGCTCCACACCAGCCTGGGCAACAGAGCGAGGCTATGTCTCAAATAAATAAATAAATCCAAACTGATAGCCTGTAAGAAAACTTTTTCTCCCTTCCAAATCTAGATATGTAATTCATTAACCTTAACCTCAATAGAATTCATTTACTTGGCACGTTTCTTGCCCGTAAGAGTTTGTCAGACCAATAATAATAATGACTAGCATTTATGACAGAGGCAACTACCCCAACTGCCAGCTGCGGATGGAATGATTTACAGTGTGAAGCTGACCATAAAAGTGTGGCAAAAGCAAACGCAGAAGGCTGAAGAAAGTGAATCCCAGATCTGACCCTCCCACTATTTCTAGGGTTACTGATTAAAAGTTTTCGACAATGCTGAAGGCCTCAGGGCAGGGATACCCGCCTACCCGCAATGGCAGGTGCTCTCGACCACCCAGGCCTGTATCCCGCAGAACCCCACCGAAACCGAGGCAGAAGCACACCCAGAAGCACCAACCAGTTTCTCACCTTCATTTGGGGTCGCTGTCTGGAGTCCGCCTTCTCAGCCGCCGCGCCCGACCCGGACATCTTTCGGCTTCTTAGCGGCCGGCGCCTTCCCGCCAAGATTACGGCAGGAGACCGGCGGTGGGTGGAGCGAGGCCGGGAGAAGTAGGGCAGGATGGGGCGGGGCCGGGACGCGGCGGAGCCCAATCGCACCTCAGCCAGAGCAGGAAGACTGGGTTACGCGCGCCTCTTAAGAAAGCCATCTTAAAGCCCTAGACTGAAAATTCTTTAGGGATGTACTTGGTCTGAATTGACATTTTTACCTTTGACTGGTCATTCTGATTCTGGTGGTAACGGGATGCCGCTCTGAAAAACACTGGCAGGCCGGGCGCGGTGGCTCACGCCTGTAATCTCAACACTTTGAGAGGCCGAGAGGAGCGGATCGCTTGAACCCAGGACTTCGAGACCAGCCTAGGCAACATAGTGAGACCCTATGTCTACAAAAAATACAAAAATTAGTCCTGCGTGGTGCTGTGCGTCTGTAGTCCCAGATACTCGGAAGACGGGTGGGAAAATGGTTTGAAACTAGAAGGATGAGGCCACAGTGAGGCATCATCCGGCGGCACTCCAGCCTGGGCGACAGCAAAACCCTGTCTCTTTTATAAATAAAATTAAAATAAGATTTTGGCTATTCTTCTATTTAAGGTTCCTTCTAGCCCAAAACTGTTTCCCTTAGTTGCTTAACTGGGTCCCACACTGTTACTTGCCTGAGACTTGTCCAGTTTCATTTCTTCTCCCACCCAAGGCCCAACTGTAGAATACAGTTGAAGTAATTTGGGTAAATCATATTAACAGCAACTTCAAGGCCCTCCATGACTCAAAAATTACTCATAAAACCAAACTTTTCATGGTGTCCTTCCTACTGTGAAATATGCCCTGACTTTCCAATTTTTTTTTTTTTTTTTTTTTTTAACACAACCCAGCTTGTAAAGTGGGGCTGCTTCTGTTATTATTCTACAAGTCCTTAAAGAGTTCTTAAATAGGCCGGCCACGGTGGTTCACATCTGTAATCCCAGCACTTTGGGAGGCCGAGGCGGGTGGATCATCCGAGGTCAGGAGTTCAAAACCAGCCTGAGCAACATGGTGAAACCTCGCCTCTACTAAAAATACAAATATTACCGGGCTGTGGGAGGCCAGAGTGGATGGATCCCTTGAGCCCGGCCAACATGGTAAAACCGCCTCTACTAAAAATACAAAAATCAGCAGGGAGTGGTGGCGGGTGCTTGTAATCCCAGCTACTCAGAAGGCTTAGACAGGAGAATTACTTGAACCCGGGAGGTGGAGACTGCAGTAAGCCGAGATCCCGCCACTGCACTCCAGCCTGGGTGACAGAGCAAGACCTTGTCTCAAAATAATAATTACCTAGAAACTTAAATACAGGCCGGGCGCGGTGGCTCACGCCTGTAATCCCAGCACTTTGGGAGGCCGTGGCGGGTGGATCACGAGGTCAAGAGATCGAGACCATGGTCAACAGGGTGAAACCCCGTCTCTACTAAAAATACAAAAATATTAGCTGGGCACGGTGGCCCACGCCTGTAATCCCAGCTACTCAGGAGGCTGAGGCAGAAGAATTGCCTGAACCCAGGAGGCGGAGGTTGCGGTGAGCCGAGATCGCGCCATTGCACTCCAGCCTGGGTAACAAGAGCGAAACTCCGTCTCAAAAAAAAAAAAAAAAAAGAAAGAAAGAAACTTAAATACACTTTCCAGCCAGGAATATATTTTAATAGGTAGTTTCCAACTACCAGTGGAAGAATCCTGAAAGCCTAGAAGTGGAGTTTTAGGATTTCGGGCAGGCAATGTCTCAGGCACTTTGGGGAATTTTTTTTTTTTTTTTTTTTTTTTTGAGACGGAGTTTTGCTCTTGTTACCCAGGCTGGAGTGCAATGGCGCGATCTCGGCTCACCGCAACCTCCGCCTCCTGGGCTCAGGCAATTCTCCTGCCTCAGCCTCCTAAGTAGCTGGGATTACAGGCACGCACCACCACGCCCAGCTAATTTTTTGTATTTTTAGTAGAGACGGGGTTTCACCTTGTTGACCAGGATGGTCTCGATCTCTCGACCTCGTGATCCACCCGCCTCGGCCTCCCAAAGTGCTGGGATTACAGGCTTGAGCCACCGCGCCCGGCTAGAATTTTTTTTTTTTTTTTTGGTCACTGGTCTAAATCAGCACCACTTGTCCTGTGTGATACCAAATACCGCACCACAGCTCACAGTGGCTTCATCAACTGACCTAATCAGATGCTATTACCAAGATTTTTACTCCATCTAACTCTTTTTCTGAGCTTTCAACAAGCCAAACAGCAACTCACTGGCGCCTCAGTTTCTTATTCACTATACAGTTCTTGGCTTCTAACCAAGCTAACACGTGGAACCTTTCATTCGAACCTTCCTCACCGCAGAGTCCGCGGGTCCTAACAGCAAAGCCCAAAAGAAGCAAAAGTTCCCGCCAAAGGCGGTTTCCAACTTCCGAGGGCAGCCAAAGAGCAGACGCAGAAACAGACGCAACTTCCTCGTTATGGGCGCTCAAACGTCCTCCACCATCCCACAATCCCCTCGTTACGTATTTCCGGTTTATCTAGCTCAGCCGTAAGCGGTTTCTCTATCAGTCGAGCAGCTGTGTTCGTGGACCTAGGTGGAAAGGAGATCTTCTCTTCGTTGACGTTCACTGTTTGGAATTAGTCAAGTTTCGGGAATCACCGTCGCTGCCATCAACATGTCGGTCCCAAGCGCTCTCATGAAGCAACCGCCCATTCAGTCTACGGCTGGGGCCGTCCCGGTTCGCAATGAGAAAGGTACAGTGCTGACAACCCTTTTTCCAGTCGAATTTTAACCTCTTCCGGCCCCAGCAACCTCCAGACCTCTCCCAGACAGACCACTCCTATCCCGCCCACTCTCAAGATTTGGGTCCCAAATTCTTCGACCTTTCCATCCCCACCCACTCGCATCCGATCTTGTTCCTGTGGCCTGCTCTCATATTCAGCAAGCACCCCTTAGCCTACACAAATTCCTTAGACTAATATGTACATTGTATATATATTACATAGATAAACGTATGAAATAGTTACTCTGATATACACTATATATCAGAATATAGATGTCTATATATATATATATATATATATGTATCTCCTGGAATATATGTTTTAGTCTAATATTAGAATATATCACTACATATTACTAGAATATATGTATTAGTCTAATTACTTAGGAACTTAAGTATATATGTTAATCTAATAATTAGAAACTTAGGTATATATCAGAATATAAACATATAATACCAGACTAGATAGGTAGGTAGGTAGATACATAGACAAAGAGAATGCGTATTTGCAGGGCATTGTGCGGGATATTGTCCCTCTTTTGCTGTCCATAGAAGACTGTTTATGCTGCCTAGATTGGACTCGACCTCCTGGGCTCCGGCTTTCCTCCTGCCTCAGCTTCCCAGATAAACACCACCGTGTCTAGCCTCAACATGGATTTTGAGAATTACCTTTGAATCCCTTTAGATATTTATTCATCTGAACTGTTTATGAATTCCATTGTGTAAAATAAACTGTAACCAGCCGGAGGCAGTGGCTCGTTCCTGTAATCCCAACACTTTGGGAGGCCAAGGCGGGCAGATTCCAAGGTCAAGAGATGGAGACCATCCTGGCCAACATGGTGAAACCCCATCTCTACTAAAAACACAAAAATTAGCTGGGCATGGTGGCGTGCACCTGTAGTCTCAGCTACTTGGGACGGTGAGGCAGGAGAATTGCTTGGACCCGGGAGTCGGAGGTTGCAGTGAGCCGTGATTCCGCCACTGCACTCCAGCCTGGCGCCTGGCGACAGAGCGAGACTCTGTCTCAAAAAAATTAATTAATTAATTAAATAAACTGTAACCCACAGTTTATTCCCTCCTGAGGGGCAGGTAGTTGTCCCATTGTTGTTTTTTTCCCTATTAAAAAAGTGCTATACCTGGGCACTGTGGCTCACACCTCTGAGGTGGGCGGATCACCTGAGTCTCGGAGTTCCAGACCAGCCTAGCCAACGTGGCGAAAGCCCATCTCTACTAAAAATTAGCCAGGCATGGTGGCAGGCGCCTGTAATCCCAGCTACAAGTTCAAGTTCTGCAGTTGTCATTCTCTAGCCAATCCAGCTTTTATTTAATGCCCCTCCAAAGTGAGTTGTAAAAAATGTAAGAATTTGGCCGGGCGTGGTGGCTCACACCTGTAATCCCAGCACTTTGGGAGGCCAGGGTAGACGAATCATGAGGTCAAGAGATCAAAACCATCCTGCCAACATGGTGAAACTCCCTTGAACCCGGGAGGCGGAGGTTGCAGTGAGCTGAGATCGCACCACTGCACTCCAGCCTGGCGACAGAACAAAACTGTTTCAAAAAACGAAAACAAAAAACATAAGAATTTGTGGAGCACAGTGGCTCACACCTGTAACCCCGCACTTCAGGAGGCTGAGGCAGGAGGATCACTAGAGGCCAGGAGTTCAAAACCAGCTTGGGCAACGTAGCAAGACCCTCATCTCTACAAAAAAAATTATACATTAGCTGGATGTATTATGTGTTCCTGCTACTTTGGGGAAGCCAAAGCAGGAGAATCACTTATGCCTGGAAGTTCAAAGCTGCAGTGAGCTATGACTGTGCCATTACACTCCAGCCTGTGCAATACATTGAGACCCTGTATCTTAAAAACAAAACAAACAAGACTGGGCATGGTGGCTCACACCTGTAATGCCAGCACTTTGGGAGGATGAGGTGGGAGGATCACGAAGTCAGGAGTTCAAGACCAGCCTGGCCAACATGGTGAAATCCCATCTCTGCTAAAAACACAAAAATTAGCTGGGTGTAGTGTAATCCCAGGTACTCGGGAAGACTGAGGCAGAGAATTGCTTGAACCCAGGAGGAGGAGGTTGTAGTGAGCCGAGATCGCAATTCTGCACTCCAGCCTGGGAGACCCAGTGAGACTCCATCTCAAAAAAAAAAAAAAAAAAAAACTTTGAGAACCTAAGAGCTTTATTTCCCATATATATATATTCATCATTTACACACTTGGTTGTATCAGATTTTTACGTTTTTGCCCAATCTGTCAGATGCAGCAGGTGTGAAATGGCATCTTGTTATTCTAATTTGCATTCCCCTGATTACTAGTGATGCTGGGCATCTTGTTCATGTGTCTAATAAGCTCCCTAGGTTTTCTTTTCTATTACTTGTTTCTGTCAATTACCCACTTTCTGTTTGCTTTGTTTTTATATGTTCCAAATCTATAGTAACCTCTTCCCCATTTTTTGGCTTCTCTTTTAACTTTAATTATGAAGTCTTGATTCTAGTTTTAGTGTTATCACTTACCAACTTTATCTTT